CCACCACCACCCTCCACCACCACCACAATCGTCCATACACCACCACCGTACACTACCACCATTAATTTATATAGCAGTCTACAGACATTAAAAAAACAAACAGTCTTCTTCTTGCAGACCGCAGACCTTCGGTCCACCACTTCTCCTGCAGATGTCTACAGTAGTGGTCCGCAGACCGCGGACCTTTTCCTGCAGAAAAAACAAACACCCCCTTAGAGACGGACGGAGTAACATCTTTTTCTTTCTTTTCTCTTTCTTTTCATCATTTTCTCATCATTCAAATAACTACTCCCTCTGTTTCTTAAAACCCTTCCTCTATTATTTTTTTGTTTTCCTTAAAAAAAAAATTTTTTCTATTAAAAAACCACTTTTACCCACACTTTTTCACACCCTACCTATCACATCATACTTTTTCAATAATAACTAAACTATCATATCTTACTTTTACCCATCACATCAAGGGCAAAAATAGAAAGTCAACTAAAATTACATTTTCTTTATTTTGCCCCAAAGTCAAAACAAAAACGATTTTAAGAAATGGAGGGAGTACTATTTTACTTATATTTTCTTTTATCACCATTTTCTTTCACATCATTTTTGTTCCTTCTATTTTATTTTCTCATATAAACAAAGGTTTACTATGGAGTACTCATTTACATACCAAATAGTTTTCATTTTAATTATACAAAGTTGATGGAAACCGCTTTTTCGGGGCGTCGACCTGTTGAAATCGGTACTAGGTCGGCACCGCACCGAATAGCGAAATCTGGAAATTAAGTAAATAAATAAACGGAGAGAAAATATTTACATGTGGAAACCCAAATCGGGAGAAAACCACAGGCCTTTTTAGGCGGTTCCATGCCAAAGGGGGAGGAACTTTTATTAATCTCGGGGGAATTTACATATACATCACTGTAGGAGTTTGGAGCCATTAATGGAGCTCCAAGCTAAAAGAAGAAGAAGAATGGAGAATAGTAGGAACATGTTGTAGGAATCTGGCCTTCCTCCTCCCTCCTTTGTAACCTGCATTTAAAGGGTAGAAGGAAATAATTGATGGAGACAAGAGGGGACATTGTCCATGTGAAGCCCATGTGCGGCATGTGGTTTCCATGTGATAGTGTTCCACGGGTCCCGCCAAATGTCTCCACATCACTTTAAATATATTATTCTGTCCATATATCTCTGGTTCTGTCTTGAATAATTTATCTGATTTATATCTTGGACTAGATAAAAATTGGGCTTTCTTGTACTGTTCAAATCCCTAATCCATCAAAAGTATTCATCTACAAGTAATATAGCGTAATATACTCATTTCATAATATTCACCTATCTCTTGCCCATTTTTGCCCTTCATCCCCATCGTCAGTTGACACGTCGTAGTCCCTTCGTTGTTTTCCAGTCTCACCGCAAATCTCACACAAAGTTCCCTTCTCTTCCACATCCTTTGCTATAGCTACTAACGTTTCGATGCAGTCCTTCATGATCGATCAATCTCATTTCATTTTTTAACAATTAAAATACCACAACTACCCCCACTTACTTTATTTATTCCACCTCACCCACCTCATTTAATACACTCCATCCATTTTTCATTAAGGGTATTATTGTAAACTTTCACCTTTTTTCAACTCTCCTTAAAAACCACCAAAAGTCAAAATGAGAACATCTTAGGGGGACGGAGGGAGTATATATTTTTATTACATTACTTCCCTGCCACCTTATTTGTTTAATCACATGCCACATACTAACAGATTTTTATTATATTTCGTGGCAAGCTTTCTTTTTTACCCATTGCTAGATCACCTGCCACATGACCTACCGCCCGGTTTCCATACACTTAGAGTGTAACTAGTAACGAATTATTCACCCATTTCTACATAGTAATTAACTGTAAAAAAGAAGGGGAATTAATATGAAAACTGACGATGGGTATAAAGCGTAATAAAAAGATAAAATTTTAAAAAGAAAAGTTTTGGTTTGTCGAAATGGGTGAATAATTTTAAAAAGATCACACACACACACACACACACACACACACACACAGAACTCATATTTTAGTATATTTTTCATTTTTTTATTCTTACTCTAGTCTTTTTCCTTTTTTGGATTCAGATTGTGTGCTTATATATGCTTTACTGGAACTTTAACTCATGTTGTATGCCTTTTTATACTAGAGAATTGCTACACATACACATCATACTTATGTCACACATCAAATTGTGTTTTTGAAGTACAGAGAAAAGTTTCTGCAAGTGTGGTAAAGAATTGTTATTCACTTCAATGGTAAAACTGGAAATATATTTACCTGGCCAGCTCTAGAGCATAATTACCAGGCACACTTGGTTCAAAGCTCAGACTTACTTCCAATTGACCTCTCTTTTATGCTGGTTTCTCAGAGGTTTCTTTCATTTTTGCAGGCACAGAAATGTACAGGGGTGTGGCTGGTCCTTTGGCTTGAAAGTGTATTGAAGATATAAAGACCCCCGAGGTTACAGACTCGACGTCCCGATCTGGTATGACCTCGTACGTTGCTATTTTCTGTGAGATTCTACAACATTTCTTGGACCTACCATCACAAATTTGAACTTTTGGTTGAGTTAGCTACTTGAAGTCATGAGTTCAAAAACCACAAACCAACAACAACAACAACAACATTACTCTAGTCTCTCAAAGGCTCCCGCCGCCCAATGCAAGGTGGTGGGGGGCATATCAACGCAACATGAGCTCTATGTTTAAAACATAGAACGGTTGTTTCCAGATGACCATGATGAGCATTGAAAGTTGCATTGACTAAGTGCTACTTCACTTTTAAAAGAAGCGCAAATAGTTTAATGAGCCATTTTACTTTTTTCCATCATACCCCAAAATCAAATAGTGAATCTTTGGCTCCATCGGAGATTAATGCACATAAATGGTTGGGTTGGTTACTTGAAATTTGCCCAAAATTTTCAAAGAAGAGCAATGAAGTGAATTCTAAGGTTGAGTATTCATCACTGTCATTGCATTTTCTCTTTTAGCTTTATATAGTATGTAAGGATACAAGACCAAATTGGAGGTCCATCAACATTGATGTCATGTATGAGCCCCTAAAATGCAAATTTACTACAAACCATCAGTTAAAGTCTTTGCTGGTTGCAACAGAAGTATCTGATCTTGTAGAAGCTTCACCCCACGATCGTTTTTGGGGACCAGGCCGCAATGGAAAATGCCAAAACGAGCTTGGAGAACTGCTGATAAAGGTGAGATCTGAGCTTCTTGACCACGGCAGTCCGGTGCCACCAGAAAACTCAGCCGATCATCACCAACCACTTGAAAAGAAACTCATAGGTAAATTTATGTCTGTTTTTATGTTTTGAAGCCATCCAGTTCCAAAACTCCGACCCGAGCAATCACCCCACCTGAAGTGAAATATGGAGTATGAAAACTAGAGCTTGGAGTGTGATAATTGGAGTTTGGATAAGTATGGTAGAAGGTTGAACGAAATAGGCCCTTAAATTTTACGTATCTATATAATGCCAAAATAAGCATAAAACTTACACTCGAGTTATCTCATGTACAGGCCTAGGCTTAAGAAGACGAAGCAGTGGTGGATGGTCTGCACAAAAGGGTTCACGCGAGTACTGTGTCTCATTTTCATTTAATTTATACTTCGTAATATGACTAATATCTTAATATTTTTACGCTTGATGCATAATAGGACAGCTATATCTTGGAAATAGTCTTTCCCGTAATGGTAAGGTTTCATAATCTCAGATTTCCCCTCATCATTTGGAAACAACCGACGTTTGATCACAAATAGTTTGCATTTAAAGAAGGGATGCAACAGAATATGTAAGGAATCATCCTCCGTCAAGTATAGAGTGTTTTAAACCGGAGGAGGTGGCTACTTTGAAGAGCATACAAGATGTCTACAACCATCGTGGTGCCCGTATGGAACTACCATCATTGAAACTGTCCACTACATCATGTTCGTTGTAAACATATGGTCGGGGGGTGACAAATATCGTGGCATGCAGTAGTTTTATCTGCCACGAGAGAAAAAATGAACGAAGAGGCAAGTTATTTTTTTGCAATATTGAAGATTGGAGACTTATCTTGCAGTTATGAAAGAGCAAAATTGACTATCAGAATTGGTCCTCTTACATGATGTGGAAGAACTTTTCTAGGGCTTCGAAGGTACTCTTCAAGATCTCTTATACAAGCACCAAAGGCTAATACACATTGATGTACAAGAGAGAGTTAGCCTCGACAACTTCTTGGGTTGTTACTTTCTTCTACATCCACAAAGTCAATTTGATTGTTGTACTTAGGACCTGAATTTTGTAAAATCATTTTGTCTGGTTGAAATGAACCAAACATAAATAAACTCTTTCTAAACTTTCAACCAAACAGATTTTACAAAGTTTGGGTCTAAAGTACAATAATCAAAACCACTATGTGGATGCAGAAGAAAGTAATAACCCAAGAAGTAGTTGAGGCCAACTATCTGCTCTACAACAATGTGTAGCATTGATGCTTGGTATAGGAGACCTTGAAGGGTACCTTCGGAGCCCTATAAATATTCCTTCACATCACGTAGGAGGACCAATTCTGGTAGTCATTTTTTCACTTTGATAACTGTAAGATAAGCTTTGTCTCTAATCTTCAACATGGAAAAAAAATAACTTGTCTCGTCGTTCACTTATGCCCTCATGGCAAATCAAACCTGCTCCATGCCATAATATTTGTCCCCCCCCCCCCGACCATATGTCCACAATGAACATGATGTAGCGGACAATTTTGCAGATAGCAAATTCCATCACGGGCACTAGTGGCACCACGATGGTTGAAGACATCATGTATGCTCTACAAAGTAGCCACTTCCTCCGACTTAAAATATTTCTATACTTGTCGCAAGATGATTCCTTACATATTCTACTGCACCTCCTTCTTCAAACGCAAACAACCATTTGTGATCCAATGTCGGCTCTTTCCAGATGACCATGATGAGCGTCGAAAGTTGCATTGACTAAGTGCTACTTTACTATTAAAAGAAACGCTGATAGTTTAAACATCCATTTTGCTTTATCACATCATACCCGAAAGTCAAATAGTGAGTCTCTAACATCCATTTTGCTTTATCACATCATACCCAAAAGTCAAATAGTGAGTCTCTCGCTCCATCGAAAATTAATGCACATGAAGATTGTATGAATTGGTTGAGTTGGTTACTTGAAATTAGCACAAATGTTTTGAAGGAGAGAGAAATGAAGTGAATCCTAAGTTTGAGTATTCATCAGTGTCATTGCATTTTATTCCCTTTAGCTTTATGTAGTATGTGCAGATACAGGTAAGGCCAAACTGGAGGTCCAACAAAATTGATGTCATGTATGAGGCCGCTGGGGAAGAGTCCCGCCACAAAGATGTAATGTAGAAAAATCTTTGTACTCTTTGGCTGGTTCCATGACTCAAACTTGTGACCATGAAGCCATAACGGCAACAACTTTACACCCAATAATTTTTATTACTTCTTCCATCCTCAAAGTAGATTCATACTTTTCTTTTTTCTCATTCCAAAATATAATTTGAAATTCGCATAAAAATCTCTGATAGAAGTTTAAAGTGTTTGGTAGACAAAATTCATCAAAGTATGGATATAACAAGTTTATATTGAACATAAGCTTGTAGTGACATAAATTCAAATTTATTTAAGCATCATATCTTAGATCATTTGGTATTTTTAATTATACCAGGTTTGGTTTGCTTATATGTACAAGTGTACAAGATAATGTGCTCGACTTGATCAAGTTTTTAGCATTGGACCTTGCTATAATTTTTAAGGTCACAATTTCAACAGATCAACTCGTGACCATTTTAGTGAACTTGTAAAACATGAAAAGAAGTACAATGCACACTTTACCTGTCTACCTTGAATGACTTGATGTGGCCTTCCATATGATGCTTCCGACCAAGTTATTCAGCGCATGAGCAGCCATTGGAACAACGATACTTGATGTTGCGATTGTAGCATACCCATAGACAAGCCCCACAAATGTTGCCCTAAAATGTTATCATATGGTAATTGAAGCTCATACTTTAAAAACTCCAAGCTTCCTAAGTTATAGGAGTGTCTGCTTTCACTTCAACTCCACATTCGTATTATATTGTCTATGTTAGGATAAGCCATCATGGATTTTTTTGGCACCTTCCAAAAGGCCTCATACTAATGGAGTCGGGTGAGTTATTAATAATTTGGTTCATTTCTCATTGGCCATCCGGTGTGGGATTTGGGGTTGCTTCCCAAATCCCAACACCAAGGATGCATGTGTCAAGGATATAGAAACATAATTTGAACTCTGGAATCTAAACTGGCGAATTAAGGATTTCAAATTAATAAAATACCAGGTTGAAAACGAATAATTTCGGCCACTGCCCAGGTGTAATATTCCAAAGACAACAGCAACAGCCAAAGCACTTGGCAAATTGACACCAAAAAGTGGTAACAGTGCACAGCGAAAAAGATATTCCTGTTCAATATAAACAACTATCAAGGCTTGGAATCAATTTAGAAATCTAATAAAATGAAAACCATGAGAAGGAAAGTAAAAGGTGTAAAAGGAATTAAGTGCCTGTATATACCTCACTAATTCCGGGAAGAAATGACACAACAATGTAATCATAGGGTTCAAGCGAAGTGAGAACCTGAAGCATCATTTGCAGAATTCAAAAAGAGGGAAAGAAAATTTGAATGGAAGTGTGATGGTAAATCTTTACAGAAAACTAGCATCTACTCCCTAACACGAAAAGGATAAACAAATCAGTGCATCCTCAACAGCACTGAAGGAAGTCCTCATAAAAATTACTCCCTCCGTCCGGAAATATTCTTCTCATTTGACTTTTCTTGGTCAAAGTTTGTAAACTTTGACTATGATTTGTGGAAAAAATACATTGTATTACAATATAACTTTAGTATGAATATATTCATTTTGAAATATAGTTTTCAAATATCAAATTTTTATAAAATAAATCCATGTATAAATAAAGATATTAGTGGTCAAAATGCAATCTTGGAGACCGTAAAAAGTCAAATGGGAAGAATATTTCCGGACGGAGGGAGTATTTGCTATCTTCCAAAAGAGGAAATAACTCAAGACATTCCTCTCCGTGTTTTCATGCAATGGAGCCAACAAACATTCATATTTTAATTTATCTCACTTCAACGGAATGTTGAAATACTAGCACACATAGTTCAAGGGAAGATGAAGTAACAAAATTAATACAAGAAAGAGCAATAGAAGATAACACTCTAGCAAAAAAGAGCAATCAATGCAAACTACTTTTCTTTCTAGATATATCAAGTAAAGAGTTAGAGTTTTTCGTTCTATATCTTATACTCAGTTGAAGGAAAATATTTAAGCAACCGCAACTTAATTAAAGGAGGCCATCAATGTTTGTTGGTGATGTTAAGTCTTAGAGGGCCAACGGCTGTTGAAGAAGGCTACATCAACCTTCGAAAGAATAACAAGGACATCACACCATAGTAGCAACTTCATGACTTGCAAAGATACTCGGATAAACAGTAACAATTGTAATTTGGTAGTGATTGAACTGGTTACATAGTAAAAGTTTGCGGACGTGGAAGGATTACTCCACCCTTAAACCTCGTTAGAGCTTGCGTGTCTCTCTCTACTTTCCAACTTTATTTACTTGTTGCTGACAACCCATAAGCTTGCTATAAAGCACTTCAAGTTCATATTCTAAAGGATTGAACTTGTTCACATTGATTTACTCTAGTTCTTCGTGCAACACAAGAGGAAGAGCATGTTTTTATTAAGGTCTAATCTGATCAGGTCTGGTATGATTTTAGTTATATTTAAAGTTGTTTATGATTTAATCTCATCTGATTTAGTCTGGCTTGATTCCAATAAGAATAAGTAGTAAGTAATAAAAATAAGAAAAGGTTGAAGAGAATATGCGCTCAAAAAGGCAACAAAGTGTATTCACTCCCCCTCTAGACTTCGTACTCCACTCTGAGAAGGGAGTACGGGACTAACATATAAAGGCCACATAATCCTACTATACAGAAACCTAAAAATAACTAAATAAAAATTTAATCTTCCTTGTAGTTTCCAAGGTAAAATCAAGCATAAAAAAACTAGTATTTTTCTTAGCACTTTTTTTTCATTTCCAACCATTTTCCACATTCCAAACCTAGCCTTCGAAAAACACTGCAGGAACTACGTACTCTATGCTGAGTTGCTGACCATTTTTCTAAGTGGAATAATATATCTGTTCACAAATATTAAAAAACTGCTTAGAAACAAAGATCATACTGAGTATACTTTAAGAAACAAAGATGTACCTGTCTATTTGCTGCTTCACTGGATTCAGCAAAATCTGGCCATGTTTTTAGCAGTAAATATCGGCATGATGATACCAATATAACCATCCCAAAAATAAGCTCAAGATGCCACAACTGCAAACCCCCTGCATTGGAGCCAACCAACTATCAGTCAAATATTTATAATGCAAGATGAACTCCCCATTAGGACTCTATTTTCCCAAGCTTTTAGAGCTCTAGACTAGATTTTAGGAGATCTACCAGCCGAAAATTATATGTTTGGTTCTTTTAGTAAGTTTTTCGTACTGTGAAAATTATTTTATCTGACAAGTGGCTCACATATATCTTAAAGGATCTTGGAGTTCACATAGCGGCCCCACTTTTATACTGTGATAATTTGTCAGCTCTCTGCCTTATGAAAAATCTTGTGTTTCAAAAATGCATGAAGCAAGTTGGTGCTGACTGCAACTTTGTTCGCGGGCAAGTTCTTGCTGGCTTCATGCAGGTGCCGGGTAGAGCATGTCTCCTAGGAATACTAACAGAGCCCTTCGCTTCACAAATCACAATGCTACCAGTGTCTCACATCCAAGCTAATCTTAGCTTCCACTCGGCTTAGCTTAGAGGGGATGATAGACATAAATAGAAAAGGTTATTTATATCTTGTGTAACTCCGTATTACTTTTTTGTCCATTATTTCATCAATAGAGAATAGAGAGATTAAATAACAAACTTTGCTTGTTGTACAACATTAGTTACATTACGAGCACCTTAGTGCCCAACAGCTTTAGGGCCCATTTGGTGAGTTTTGGAGGATTTATATGATATAAATTTTGAAATCTAAGAGAAATGATATGGGTTTTGAATGGAAGTATTTGCAGAGATTTGAAATCATGAACTTTCGTGATAGACGGGAGTTGGCAATGGGAAATGAACGGAGAAAGGCAGGCAGCGATGATGGTAGCATGTGGCGAGGGTGGTCGACAGTTGAGGGAGAGATATCAAACCCCCATATTGATATCTCCCAAATTTGGGAGATATCAAACTCCCTCTTTCAGGAGGGTTTTAATATATGGTGATATCAAATCTGAGACCTGTTTAGGCTTCATCAAACACCAAAAAAAATTCTGATATCAGAATTCATATCTCTTTTAGTCACCAAACATGTCCTTGGCATTTTACAGAGGTTATCGAATGGAAACGTTTAGTTTTTGCATTTTCAAAGTTGATATGCCCCATTAAAAATTATCCAAAATGCTAATTCCCATATGTGGCCTTAGTCAAAGGTTAAAGGAACTCAATCTTACAAGATATTTCAGCAGCACAGTCTGCAATTGGCAATCCTCCAATTGATGCAAAATGAGAGGCCTGCAAACCATTAAAAGCAAAGTGGGGGTTCCATTGTACTCAAATATTGCAGGAGCCAAAAAATGGGTCGTTGATGTAAGTTACTGCCATACTGAAGTAAGTTTGAGATAGTATCTCTCTTTTTTTCGTTTTGTTTTTTTCCTAATTCCTACGGGACGTTGTGAATGGACTAATGAGAGAAACGCTAATGCAATGTAATGACAAAAGATGGAGATTCACTTTATGAAATTGACTTCACAAATTATGGTTTGGTAGTAATTAAAAACAAAAAAATTACAAAATCACATCAACAGAGCTTATTAATTAAGACCCTTTCCAGGGTTGCTACAAGTTGTCAGTTTTTAGTTTTATGATTGTAAATGGCATTTGATATACATTGTACAAGCGTATAACAGCCCAAAACCACCTATGTTAATATTCTTAATTTTGAAAACTAAAAACAAAGAACCGAAAACCTCTTTTTATAGTTTCCAAAATCTGATTTTTCAAGTTTTCAAATAAACACGAAACTTCTTGCTTAGAAGCATCCGGTAGGAGAGGGCATTAAATTACAAGAACGGCTGCTCATTTACATGCAAGAGAGACAATGAAGTGGGAGGAACATTTGGTCATATACAAAACTACACATAATTTTAAATAAATGCATGTTGGAATTGGCCCATATATGAGTTTGTTGGGCCCAAGCTCCGCCCAATCCACCAAAGGGGCTCACATGAGATGGCTCGTAATAGCCCAGCCCGGAAGTCAGGCATAAGCTCACGTGATACAGGCCGTGGGCGACTCGAACCGGAAGCGAGGCCCATCTGAACGACATATGTGGAGTAACAGTCAAAGCCAGGTCAAATGAGGGAGAGGCTCAACACGTGACTAATTATGTGATCTAGGGGTTTGAAATCCATCATAAGGTATCAAAATGTTCAGGAAGAAGGAGCATGAATTGTACCTGACGAATCAAAAGACCCAAAATGCCTATATAACCAGACGTAACAGTGCATGCCCGAAGCACAGATCTCCTAGACGGGGCTTTCTGAAATTCCTCTACCTCCGCCCCACCATAAGAGATTGAACTATTTCCGTCTTTCGTGTAATCCTCATTTCGTTTTAGGCCTTTTCTTCTCAATTTCTTGGGTAAAGCTCTAACATCAAATCCACTATTCCTCTGGTCTCAACGGGGGATGGCAAGAAACATAGAAATAAACAACAGAAATTACAATTGAACTTGATGAATTGAGTCAGATGCATTAAGGAAGAAGCTATGAATATAGAACTCACACTGCACAGCAAATTGGGGATGAACCCTAGTGAATAACCTGCTGAAATTTCAGATCTTTTGCACTGTTAAACCTCAAAGCAGTTTATAACAACAACAAACCCAGTAAAACCCCTCAAAACAATTTATATATGTATAATTACCACATTGAAGATCTTCTTATGTATAACCAACCATAAAAAAAATTGAATCTTGAAAGCTATCGAAAAATGAAAATCTTAAAATAAAAGGTGAACTTACATGAAGATGGACGAGGGGGAGAATCAGCGATGCGAGGGAAAGCGGAAGGGATCGACCTCCAGCAAGAATGTGCAGTCAGCAAATTCATATGTATGGCATAAATGACAAGGAAAAATATACAATCTGATAATTTTTTCGAATGGGTTTCTTATTTGAACAAGCAAAACATATTGAATTTCTCTCTGCATCACGATAAGTTTTAATTTCAATAACTATTATCTAATTAATTAATTATTAATTCTAGTGTACTAAAATATCCTATAAATGATTTTATATTTACTGCCTCATTATGTCCTACTGTCTTTCGCCGACAGCCAATCACAAATTAAAATGCTAATGTTAGTGTCTTGTGGCTACTTTGTTAATATCCATTATGCATGATATAATGACTTCCATGAGTTTACTCTAATAATGATCTAGTTTGGGATTAACATTTTTCATTAGTGTTGGCGTTTTGAATATGATTTTAATGGTTTAGATAGCTTTTTCGAAACGCTAACACTGACTTCTAACGGTGATGCTAAATGGGGCCAATGTCCAATATCGTAGTGTTGTTAATGCATGTTACATGTCCATTCTGAAGATATTGTCGGTTAAAAAAACATTCTCGCAATTATAAATGTCAACTGTATTTCTCATCAATGTCCCTTATCAATAAGTAATGTCCATAATTTTTACAATGTTCCATGTTTATAATTTTGACAATATCTCGGATCAGTGAACAATGTCTATCAAAAAGAAAATATAAGGAGAGAATCGATCGAGAGGACAAAAAAAGATACAAGGGCATCTTAGTAAATGAATATTATTGATAATTAATTAAAAATTTATTAATTTAATGTTAGTTTTGGAAAAAAACTTGTTCGGTGCTACGAAGTATTTGATGAAAAAATGTTAAGTTTTGTTCATCTCTCTTTCGGAGAGTTCTCAATTTCTCATTCATGTACTTAGAGTTTTTTGCTTTCATAGGGGTCTCTTTGGTTGGAGGAGAGGGGACGGGATAGGAAGATATTTCATTAGGGTGAGCAAGTATCGAATCAAATCCAAAAATTCTTGAAAAAACTGAAAAGACCAAACAAACAAAACTATGAATCGAATAAATGCTGGAAAAAAATGAATCATACCAAACCGAATAATTGGTTCAGTGTTTGGAAACGGTACGAGGTAATTTCTCATAGCAGAATTCTCAAACAGAAGATAATAAGATATATACCTACGAGCAATATATTACTCCCTCCGTTATGAAACCTCTCCCCCTCTCCGAGATTGCCACCAATCGCACGATTCCATTGCAAATCTAGAAAATGAAGGAATAATGTATAGAAATCACCCTAAATAGTACTAAAATATAGAGAAAGTATCAAAATATGAGTTTCATGTTTTTATTCCCTATATAGGAGTTCGTACTGTGGTAATATGACATTGTATATGTACATTTTACATAATGTTCATGATCATTATCGGTAATATAAATGGGTTTTAACTCTTATTTCGCGAATAAAAACATGAAATTCCTATTTCGATATATCTTCAATTTTTAATCCTACTTTAGTCTTTTTCCCATCTAATTTCTCTAATAACTTCAGTATATTTTCAAAAAAATATAAATTGTTATTACTCCATTTAATTAACACATTAGCAGCACGATACAGTTTCATTGATTTAAACAAAGTTACAACACAACATAAAATCAAATACCAATCCAAAAAAAAACTTAAAAACAACAATACTAGGTAATGTGTTTGGTAGAAAATTCAAAATTGTTTTGTTGGGGTTTAATTTGATGTAATTATTTTGACAATTATAGACACTTGTAAACATAACTTGCTAATAAAGAATATTATTTCCTAGAAGTTTGTAACCTATACACTAAAAACAATTTGTGGAAAATATTTTCTGGATAACGTCCATTTTTGACATATTCAAAAGAGACTGCTTCTAAGGTGGGTATAAATAAAAATCCATCATTGATCTCTTCATATCAGCAAACTACGCAATAGATTAAGAATAATCATCATTAATCTTTTTTTAAATCTTTCTTTTCAAAATAAAAATTCCACTTTTCTTGTTTTCTTTATAAGAAAAGAACTGTATAGGTCACATTATTTCTCTTTCGTTCAAATAAATTCTAATTTAAAACATTCATGAAATCAATCAACAAAATTTATCTTAGGACGATCTAGATAAGAGCAACATTTGAGCACTTAATAATTTTGAGAAACTCTTGTAGACATGAATATTGAGAATGGGTTGCAAGTTTTTTACTTGCGGACAAGGCTTTCTTTCCACTCTTTATTTAATTAACAACATATTTTAGGGTCCGTTTGGTACACGAAATTCAAAATATCGAATTGGAATTGGGATAACAACATTCTAGTTCTGTTGTTTGATGGCAAAAAAACATGTCATTTTGGTACTGACAGTGCCAAAAATGAATTGGAATTAGAGAATTCAATTCCATCCAAATCAATTCCATTGAATTTTAACTTTCAATTCAAATCCAATTCCATCAGTTTTGTGCGCCAAACAAACCCTTAGGGTCTGTTTGGTACACAAAATTGATGAAATTGGAATTGAACTGGAAGTTGAACTTTTATGGAATTGATATGGATGGAATTGAGTTCTCCACTTTCAGACTTTCAGTTCATTTTTGGCACTACCAACTCCAAATCAACATATTTTTGTGCTACCAAACAACAGAATTGGAATTGTTATCGCCAATTCCAATTCCATAGTTTGAATTCTGTATACCAAACGGAGCCTCAGTAATTTCTTTAGGGTGTTGGAGATGAATATTAAGCATGAACAAAGCAGGGTTCAGAGAATCAAACATTATTAATTAGTATATCATTTGCCAAAGGCCTTACAGTCAAATGACATAGATTTGAGACAAATATATGTACGTACCAGATGTCCCAAAGTTCAATTCTCTAATTCTTCTCCTAAAATAAAACCCCAACCCCAGCCAGGAAAACAAGAGGAAAAAAAAACATTTATACCAACTACATTATATGGTAAAATATGGAGAAGAATGGCAGGCTAAACAGAAAAATTCTATTCTGTGACTAGTAAGTAGTAACTACAGAAGGAATAAAGTATTGTTGAAGATCACCATTGCATCACAATATGGTGCCCAAGAGCCAAATATGTAGCAGAAATGAATAAAGAATGAGACCTATTCTCGCTCTTGGACGACTCATCAGTGCCCGCCCAGATGACACCCTGAATCATTCGGATATATAAACAAGCCATTAGATCATATATGGGGGGAATGGCAACTCAACTTTGAAGAAAACATTCACTCCCATTTTTGATGACAAAAGAGTACTCTTTTTAAGGAAAGAAGATATGGGTTGAGCACGTGAATAGTAAATGTAAAGAATTTTTGGTGACAAAAGAGTACTCTTTTTAAGTGAAAAGTTCAAAATAAATTTATATATTAAGATAGTCAAAAGACATTACCAAATTCCATCAATCCGGTCAGCAAGAATCCTCCCTTGTCTAGGAACAAGTCCGGTTGTAATAAGGGACTTGAACAAGTGACCTGCAAGATAGGAAGCACGATATAAGTTTGGACATTTATTTTGATGGTAGTAAAGCAGAAGTTTTAACCCTTGGAAACAGCCACCTTTGTCTTCATTAGCTTCATCATGGTTTAGCAATCTCTCGGATCCAGAATCTATAGTAAGTGCAAGGTGATCTGTCGATCCCTTTCTAAGAGTTCGAACATGAGCAGCCGAAGGCACTGAAGTAGATGCACTAATAGTAGCAGTTGAGCCCTGCAGCAGTAAGGTAAGAGCATCATAACGTTTGTTTACTTGTGTATTTTCATTGATCATTTGATAAAATAACAGTCATGTCACCTCTTGTGTAAAATTTTTATTTTTAAATATGTGAGTTTTATTTTAAATTATTATACCAGTTTTCAAAAAAAACCCAGTAAAATCCCACAAAAAGTAGGGTCTGGAGACCATACCATTATTCGGAAGTAAGATACCAATTTTCAAACAAAATGAACTAAAAAAACTTCAATTTACCTCGTAAATCCCTGGTGGGACAGAGGGAGTATTTGGTATGAACTTAATTTTAAGAGAACATTTTCCACAGACTTATTTTTCCCACAACCAAATGGATCCCAACTAAAGAATTCCAATACAAAATATATTCAAGCTTACTGTGTCATGGATTTCAGAAATCTCAGACTGCGCAGGCAAGGAAGCTGCTTCAAACGTATCCCTTTCCAGATCGATCTCCCTGGGGATTGCCTCAACTTGAAAAGAACTTTCGAGTGAGCTGACCTTGCTTGATAGTTCTTCTCCGGCCTTTTTCATTTCAAACAATTGTGCATCAACTTCCTCTTTTTGGGACTTTAATTTTCCGGATTCAAAAATTACGGCCATGACCAGCTTATCAAGCACGGGTAATAATCCCGAAGCAGCAGGTACTTTTTGAGCCCCTACCAAATTGTTTCCTCCCAATCTTTGAATAAGATTTTCCAAACCTATTGTGACCTCTAACAACTCGTCCGTCATCTTTTCACCGTCTTTTTTATCTCTATTGAGATTCTTCAGTTCTTCATTCAGATGTTCAATTTCAAATTTCTGCCTTGCAAGAGTTGACTGTAACTCCTTTTTATCGTAAGACAACGAGTTTATCTGGTTCTGCAACCCAGTAAAACTGTCAACGACGTAAAAGAGTTTTCTCACATCCGCATGAATGTCCTGATTCCCCAAATCACGACCTCCTATTGGAATCTCAATCTCATTTAACTTATCAAAGAGGGACTCCATTTGAGATGCTGACAGGAGAGTGTCTTCAGACTCTAATAATAATTTAGAAGTTCCATAAGAAGACAATAAAAGATAGCATGATAACAATCATAAGTAAACAAATTCAACAGAAACTAAAACAAATAATAACACACCTGAGCCTCTCGACAAAAGAGTGCTCTTCAGAGCTGTAAGTTCTGCCACAGTTTCCTTTAACAGATCATCTTTCGCCAGATGATCCTCTAACTTGAGCCTCAACTCACTGCACATTTCACGTGCTTCATCTAGATCAGCTTCCAATTGGGAGACCCTTTTCTTGTATATCTCCCTTTCTTCTGAATCTTTTTCACAAGCAGCATTGGTTTCTGTCAATTTGTTCTGCAGGTCTTTGATGCTTCCAAGCATTTGATCATTTGCATTTTGAAACTGTTTCCTCAGATTTTGGCAATCTCTAGCAGCAACTGTCAGCTTCTCAGCAGCCTCTTTGTAGTTACTTCCATCGGATTCAAAACTATTTTCGCCTAAAACATCTGATATCAGGGAAGAGCTATTTTCCGAATTCAGCTCTTGAGTTGCACCAACACACGCAGAATACAACACCTTAAGATTCCCTTCAATCACATCAATTTTATGCTGCAGTGACTGCCGATCTGTCTCCATATCTTCCATGTTTTGCTTCAGCGATTTAATGAGCTTTGGAAAAAGTGTGATCAAATGACCAATCACTGTAGCATGTCCATCAAAACTTTCAGCAACAATTTTGTTCCTATGATGGAATTGTTTGACATTTTTCAAGATTTGAGATGTGATATTCTCATCATGGGATGCATTTAGTTCCCCGTTAGCCATTTCCATATCTGGAACATCGTCAAAGCCAGTTAGCAATGTTGATGACCTTGAAGAATCATCCTACAAGGAGGAAAGTGAATTTATAACTGCACAGAAATTAAGCTTCAGCCCATATCACACAAAACAGCCAAATTTACAAATATGTATTCCCTCTGTCCTAAAACTTTCTTCCCATTTCAGTTTATGAGCTTCAATTGAAATTATTTTCAATTCAATTTATTTGAGTACAAGTGTAAAATTTAAAAATAAATTTTGATATGTTTAAAAACGACTTCTACGGAAGAAGATGTGATATGACTATATTATTTTATCAAATGACTAATGAAAACAAGCAAAGAAAGTGAATACACTTTGACCATGTAAATAGTTTGACCATGTAAATAGTAACCGGGAAGAAAGTTTTAAGACAGAGGGAGTATAAGACATGGTGCTTCACCAATCAGCACGCGAGGAGGCCGAGTACCTTGCAAGAAGTAGCAAGTCAAATTGAAATTTTGATATTGTTTCAGGTTTTCAGTATACAATAATCAGCTGCCATTAACACGCTGAATATAATACCAAATAAAGTGAGCAATTTGGATGAGCTCGCTTTATTCGGGAAACGAAGTCTAGTTCTTAGCAATAAGTGACATGTCAAATTGAAAATCTGAGATTGTTTTGGGTTCAGAGTACACGATTATCAGCTTAGAGTAACACTAAACATAGTACTGAAGAAACAAGCAAAATTACCTTGAGAAGAGGATGGCCTTGCAAGACTTTGAAATTGACTTCGGGAAACAAGTCCTCCATCTCCTTAAGATGACCAGTCAATTCATTCAGGCCCTCAAGTTTCTTCTCAAAATTTTGACATGCTGTATATAAAATATTTCCATCTTTCAGAAGACTTCTAAAATGACTTAACAGCTCCGTATCTTTCATCTCTATGCTCCCTTGTGATCTCGCCAAGTCTTCCAAGCAATTACTCAATTTGTCATTGAGCTCTGAAATCTCTTGTTCAGCATTCTTCTTTTCATTAACAAGATCAAAAACTTTGTTTTCTGACCTTTCCAATTCACCCTCTAGTGACTTTATAGTGATTAATGCATCATCAAGCTTGCTATTTTGAGATTCAGCTTCTTCTTTGAGCTTCCTTATCTCAGCCTCCAAATGAGTAACACCTATTCGTGCTTTACTGCTTTCATCAGCAATGACAGAAACGTTTTCCCTTTCCCTTCCTAATGCAACTTCAAGGGACTGAATAGTTTCATAGGCTTCGACAAGTTTATCTTTCTCAACAGAATATTCTTCCTGCATTTTCTGGAATTCCAGTTGAGTGGCATCTCTACTACATAAAATTTCTTCTTTCTCATTCATTAGTACCGATATATTGTTCTCTGCCAGTGTTAAGGTATCCTCAAGCGATTCTTTGATGGCACATACCTCAGCATACTTAATTTTCTGAGCAGAAGCTTCACCTACAGCTTTCTGCAATTCCTGTTCCAGTAAGGTATGTGCAGATTCCAGATCATTTTTGTCATTTAGAAGCCGAGAGATACTGATCTCTGTAGTAGACAAGGCATCCATTGTTCTTTGTAATTCTTGTTCAGTTAATGTCTTTGTAGACTCTTGTTCTTTCTTTTCTTCTTGAAGCTGATGGATACTGTTCTCAGCAATAGATAGGGAATCTGTCAATGATTTTATGGTTGCCTGGGATTCTAGTAACTTGTTGGTGAAGGTAGTGGTTTCATCTTTCACCAATGCCAACTCTTGCTCAGCCTCTATCTTTTCCTTCTCACATTCTCCAAGGCAGTCAATGAGCCATTTGACCTTCTCAACAGGCCCTTCGAACCCTGAAACAGCTGGAGGAGAAATACAATCTAAAGATTCCATAACCTTTTGTAGTATCCTGTTGCTCTCGGCTAAGGATTGTTGTAGTTGGTCCTTTTGGTCCTTGATAGAAGCAAGATCAGCCTCCAGTTTAGGAATGACGCCCAGGTCAGCAGATAATTTATCAATCTGGTTTTTGCAGTCATTGTAAATAGATAGTTGTTGTTCGAGCTCTGATCTTAATTTTTCAATCTCAACATTTTTACCTTCCAATGTTCTTTTCAAGTTTTCCCGCTCTTGAACAACTCCCTTGCCTTTTTTAACTGCCATAGACAATTTTTCCTTGAGCAAAGCTACTTTTTCCTCATATTGTTCGAGATTCTTCTGCAGAGAATTATTTTCTGCTCTCACTGCATGAAGTTCTTTAGTTGTCATTACCAACTCGCTTGACACGTTTTTCAATTCTGCATTATTCAGCATTTCTTCTGCAAGCATTGACTCATAAAGTTTCAACTCCAGGTCTCTAGTATACAAAGCATTTTGGATGCTTTGAAAAATTTCTGATTGAATATAAGAAGAATCAAATGAAGTATTGTCTTCTTTTATCTTAGCTATACATTTTTCAATGATTGCACATATGTCAGACTGCTGATGGCAGCCCAATTCTCCGTTATCTACTTTGACCCCAGCTGCTTCCAGCAGTAAATTCACAAAATTATCCTTCTGCCATGACAAGTGATGCTCTTTCTGGGAAATCTCTTTATACTCACGAGTTAAGTTTCCCAGTTCTTCCAGAGTATAGAACTTTTCCTGTGTTTCCACTACGAAGGATGTGGTTAAACGATCTATTACATTATTTGCTTCCTCTCTTGCAGCACCAAATTTCTCGTGTAACTTTTCATGAAGATAGTTCTTTTCCTGTGTTTCAATCAAAAGGGAAGCCATTAGCTGATCAATCTTCTTACCTGCAGCCTCGTTTGAAGCAGCCATCTCCTCCTGTAATTTTCCAGCTTCTTCTTTAGCAGCATAAAAAGATTCCAGGAGCCAAGAAACATGTGCATCACTTGCACTTGCTTGCATACTTTCCGGAAAATCATATGATGACAAGACCTCCGCAACTTTTTGAAATTCCATGTGCATGTCCTTTAGAGAATTCCTCTCTTCTGCGAGGCACCCGATGCTTTCAGAAATATCTGTTAGCGCAAGCTGTTCCGGTCCAAAAACATCTGATAATATTTCTCCACATTTCACAAGTATGTTGTCCTTCTTTAAGAGATCATCCTGCAGTGAGTTAGCTAGCTCATCCTTTCTCCTCAACAGTTCCATGGTTTGTTCTGCGACCTCAAGAGCATTTGACTTCTCTTGCAACTCAACCAAGCATTTGTCTAGCTCGCTTGTTTTCTCAGCTAGTGATTGCTTCAGCACATCCCGCTGCTGAACTAGTGCTTTTCCTTTTGTCACGGCCATGGTGAGCTTCTCCTTAGTATTAGTATACCTGGCCTTCTCCTGCTCTACTTCTACATTCAGCTTTGCAATTTCAGAATTGGCATTCTCAAGCATTGATTTGTGCTTATCAAGTTCTTCCGTCAGTTTTCTATTTTCTTCGCTTAAATGGCTAAGGCTTTGAGTCAAGTTTTCTGCTGCTTTTAATTCAATTATCTTTTCACGTGCAGCAACAAGTATTCCCATTTCATCGTGAGCAGAAATGTCTGGCACAACTTCAGCCAAACCGCATCTGAGTTGGTCCATTTGAGAGAGGAAAAAATTGTACTTTTCAACTAAAACAGTAACTGTTTTTTGGACTTGAAACAACTTTCCCGCGACTGATTCTTCTGGTAATCCTTCTTCTTGACGTACTACCATTGCCAGAGAAGCTAAAATCGCATTCGCCATTTCTCCAAGCTGCTGCTCTGCCTCATTTTGGACCTCATGCATGCAAAAGGAATTCTCTTGTTCAGAACTCAAATGAGAAAGAGCAACATCCTTCAATACAGAGAGCTCAGTAACCTTCGTATTGAGAGCCTCGATCTCTTGATCCTTCATGTGTAAAATCGCATCGAGTTCTCTTATCCTGCTCTCAGTATTAGAACGCTCATGCGTAGCATCTATAAGAAAATTGCAGCAATCAGATATCATCCCATGCAATGATGCACTGGAGCCTAGACTTGTATCGGTTTGATTAAGATCTTCAACCAACACATTGTCATTTGTAGTAGTAACTGATGATTGATGTGCATTGAAGGCCTCGAGTTGACTACGAAGATGAGCTAGTTCTCTCACAAATGAATTTGTTTCCACCTGCAAAGGAGGTAAGGCATGGCAATGATACAATTGCTTAGGAGCTAAAATAATTTGTGAAAAAACAAGGCATAAAACTGACTTCAGATCCGTGCGTAAGGTTATCTTTTGTGGCAGCAGGTGTCGGCGTGTTATCTATCTCAGCCTCCAAATCTGGTGTTTTCATTTCACTACTTGTTCCTTCAAACTGAGTGTCCTGTACATAATTCTTATTCCCTATATCCTGCGGGGTTTCAGAAGTCTCTATCTCATCTGGACAATCCACAAACATATCTTCTCTTCCTCCATCTTCAGCCATTTTTACATCACCTGCTTCACTTTCTTCTAAGCTGGATACACTGACAAAGCCCTCACTATGTGTATTGGCATGAGGCACCTACAGGCAGTTTAACCAAGAACTATATCACGCTAAAAATTCATGAAAATATGAAGCTGTTCATTGAGACGAATCAAGATTCAAGACTGTAACCTATGGTAGTGTATTTAGTACCAATAACCTACATGGTAGGTCGGACACAGTTATTGGGCATATTCCTCGACGTCCATCTAGGGGCATGGCAGGGCAGTAAAAAAAGGCTTTCGGGTTATAGCCTTGTAGGGTAAAACAGAACTTAAGCCCTAATACGGTGGGGCCTATTTCCTAGAGCGGTTGGAGGCTTACAACTTTCATGAGGTAGCCTCTTTGTTTTGGGCAATATAATACCTCTTTTGTCAATTATCTACTTATTCACAACGTGAAAAGCTTAACAAAAAATGAAGGGGATGCTTAAGAGGTTTGCAACTCTTATTTGTGACTTTTTGATGGGCTTTTAATCCACCAGAATATATGAACTACAATAAGGAATATGTCGCAGATAATATCGACAAATGGAGCTAGATTATACCCTTCGTATATCAAGAACGATATCCCCTCTCCACAATCATGGTGTCAACTCATGGGAAAGCCACAACCCACCTTCCTAGGGAACAAGTGGACCATGGACCATGATCATGGTAGATCATGGGATTGCCTTCTTGTCCTCTAACCCTACCACCTCCCTCACCCGCCATCATGGTAGATTGGATTCTCATTCCTGGGTCCAGTCAACCCGACCCATTTTACATGGATTCCACCCCCTTATTAATTCTGTAGACTTGGATCTTTTACTCTTTTAAGGCTAAACATAAATATTAATTACGGAATGGACATGGTATATTGGGGCTAAATAGACATCTAGTATACACATTTGGGTCGGTCTCAATATACCCATCACCTTTTATCTTTTACCCCGTAAGACTTTAACTAATTTCTTAAAAATTAATGTGGAAAGTATGCAGATTACACTCTGTATATGTTTTTTCTTCTCCGCTCAACATACCTGCAAGCATTCACTTCTTGATGACAAATTCCATTCATTACAAGTTGCTTGGTTTTAGACATTCTAGTTTTGAACTATTGACACTTTAAGCATGATTTCCTTTATATGAAATACTCTTTATTCTAATTACCAAATTACTATTCTTCAATCAATTTGATTTGCCTGTAAGTATTTCTGCAAATGAAATTTACACGAATGAATTACATAGTAATTTGCTATTTTTAGTCCAATCCCAATGTGTGGGCTCCCCCATTGATACAAGCATAAACTAGGGATTCACGTGGCTTTAAGTCTAATTTTCATATATGAGTGGATTTGCATATATGGGTTACTCCTTACATTCACTTTAACTAACCATTGTAACTTTCAAATGTTGAACGAATGTAGACATGATGTATGTCCATATTACTATATATGAATGGAGGGAGTATAATAATTATCTCATAATGCATTTACAATCAAATTAACTCTAAAAGAGAGGGATGGTATAAGCAAACTCATATGATTCAACCTCGGCTGGTTCTACAGTACCAACGCCATTTCCATCAGCTGTGGAGCCTTCTTCTTCTCCTACCTGATGTGATTCAGACTCAGACATATAGACCAATCATAGCCTTACCACAACAACCTAGATGATTTTGTTTTTCCTTAACGCGTAGAGCCAAATGGTATCTGAAAGATTAAAAAAAAGATCCAATCTGGCCAAAATATGAATCAAATTTCAAGAATGTTCAAAAAACAAAACACACTTTTCAACCAGAAAAAAAAACTATCAAAACCCTGAAATAAATTTTAAAAAAGAACAAGAAGATTGCGAGATAAACGCAGGTGCAAACTCATCATACCTGGAAAATGGGGCGCCAATTGGGTTTATAAGAATGGGTAAAGTTGGGATTTGGTCTGGGGTGTCGAGAATTTTGAAGAGGAAGACGATGGCGGTGGATCTTGGATGAATAAATGCAGCAGAGCTATGAAGAAAAGAAGAAATTGAGCTGCCGGCGTTTTATATATCTGAGCGTTACTTTGCAGGCGAAATGACACTTGGGCGTGCGAGTTGTCTCTTCTTCATTGGTGATAGATGACACGAAGAAGGAGAAGAAGAAAAAAAAGAGATCTTTTTACTCACTTTTCTTACAAAAACAATTTCGACTTATTTTATTGAAAAATGATATTTGTATCTCAAAAATTGTACATTATTTTGTACTGCGGAGGTATGCACTAACATTTTATATTAGTGTGATGCTTTACAATGACAATACTAAAATACATTTCCCTTAAATTTCTTCAAAATCAAAACATCTCATGTTTAAAGGGACAGAGGGAGTATTTAAGTTTTATAGGCGGGCCTGTTATTTATTTTAGAAATATTTGCACTAATACTAAAACTTAAGTCATTTCTCCAAATAGCACTTAGATTGTTTTTTTCCTCAAATAGCACTTTATAATGTCCATAATGACCAGTGATGGCAAACATTTACTTCAATAATGACTAATGTATAATGACTAAAAGTGCTACATTGAGAAAAAAACATATGTAGTGCTATTTAGGTAAAGTCATTATGTTGTAGTGCTATTTAGGTAAATTTCTCATTATTTTATGAATCTAGTTTTTTTAACATTGACCTCAATTGTGCAATCGGCCTATTTAGGACACTTTGATATTCTATTAAACTTGAAAGTGATTTCCATAATTCCTTTTCTAGTCATTCATTTTTCTCTATTTTGCCTTTTGGCTACAATATATTGTAGTCAAACGACCAAACAAATAAAGAGATAGGTGTTGACGTTAAGGATATATGATCTAGTTTTGAACACAATTAAACATAAGTGTCAGATGAAATACAATTTTGAATCTTAGTTTTAAAAGAAGCTTTTTTATTATCTTAAGCTCCAGACATAATGATCATCTGATATATTAAATTTTTATATTTTATCTAAACAAATTACAACCATTATTTTTAATTTTTCAACCATTAGGGGTGCATTCAACCAAGATTTTGTAGGGTTTTGTTAGATTTTAAAAGTCTATAGGTATCCAATTGAGATCTTTTAAATAGTAATCTAAAATCTAAGGGTATTAAATTATGGTTTGAAAAATTCATTTTAAATTTGGCATTTTTCAAAGATTCGTCTAAGAACTATGTTAAAGATTAGATTTTTTGTTGTTCGATTTTTTCTCGCAAAAGGTAGGTGTTGCACATTTGAAGCAGATCAGGTCTTTGTTTGGCTTGTGGAGAAATGGGTGGGGAAGATAAGTGGAAGTCGAAAGACTGTTATTGTGGGTGGCTGCTGGTTTTGGTGGTTGCGGCGGCCGTCGTGGCAACCACCGGGACCTGGGCGGAGATACCTAGAAAGAAAGGATGAAGGAAGAAAGAAGTATAAAAAAAGAGTAATCCATCCATAATAAACAATCCCAAAAAATCTTATAAAATCTTGCTAAAAATACATTAAAAAATCAAACTTTACATAGACTTAAAAGAATTTCCTAATTTTATATAACTCATATATTCCATTTTTAAAAAAAATCAAGCTAAGTTTGTTTCTAAAATCATAATTTGATTTTAAAAATCAATTGGGTGCAACTATGCAAGGAATTATCAATCAACGTTTGGGAATGGTTTGAGTTAATGCAAAGTAAATGCATTAGTGTTCTTGACTTTTTTTCAACTTGATCTTACATGAAAATTATAAAGTTTTAAAATTGTACTCCCTCCCGTTATAAAAATATTTTCTATTTTGATTTTTTTGGTCAAACATTGACACACTTTGACTATAAATTCTGAAAAAAGTATATTTAATTATAATCTGTATTCAATACAATTAGATTTATCTTAGGATATAGTTTTGACATATCAAATCTCTATATCACATATTTATTTAAATTATGTTTAATTTATTGTAAAAAAGTTTCACTTTTTGACTTAAAAAATCAAAACAAGACAAATTTTTAGGATCGGAGGAGTAGGAGTAAAATTAATTTTTAAGAAAGTGAATAAAATATTGGACCGCATAAGAAATACTTGTTTTCCTAAAATAGAGAATGAAAAATATTTTAAAGGTACGAATATAAAAGGACATGCATGTGATAAACATGAATAACCAATGGTGTGTCTGGAAGCATGGATTTGGATTTCAAATCCGGATTTAGCTCAAATTCTATGTTTGGAAACTCAAAGAATTTGGATTTAGATTTGAATTAAATTCTTCTAATTCAAAACTAACTCAACTACAAATCCACACCCCTCCCCATGTCATTTACAAATTCAAACTTAATTTTTTTTAATTCAAAACTTGTAATTAAAAAGTGATCTTCTCTTATATAATAACAATCTCATACATACAAATCCACTTCCGTTACCGTCTTTGCCAAGTTCAAAATTCAAATTCTAGAATTGAAATTTTATGACTTCTCAAACAGCATTGTGAATTTGAAATTATGGAATTTCAAATGTTGGAATTAAAATCTAAGATTTCAAATGAATTCTAGTTCCCAAATACTACCTTAGGTTATTTTTGAAAAATAACCAACATAAAAACTGAAATTCACTTTTTCTCCCGTCTTCAAAATTTTGAAAAATGACCAACATAACGTTTTCCCATAATACTTTAAGCATATGCTTATACTTCTTTTTTCTATGTTGTTTTCAAAGAGCATGTTCCTCCAAAAGCATATATAATTTCATCATCTAAAAATAATTAATGTACTTTGATTTCAGAAAAATTAATACGAAATACGATGTTTGATTCAAAAAATTTGAAAAGAAAAATACAATGAAAAACGGTATTTTATATTTGAATAGAAAAAAATGAAAGTAAAAGAAAATGAGAACGTAAAACAAACTAAGATGATAGATTTTATACTCTAATACATAGAGAGTATCAATTATAATATCTTTCCCCACTCAAATGCCTTGAACCATACAGAGTGTTAAAGATTAATTTTCTTGAGGGTGGTTCGGGTGACATGAATCCCCCATGTCATTCTATGACATGGGCCCCGATTAGGACACCTACGATGCTCCGTTTGAAAAATTGGTGGTATCTACCCCGTCTAACACTCCATGTAAACCTCTCACTCCCGGCCCGGCCCGAACATACCTCGCACCCACGTCAATTGTATGCCACAAGATATAATTGACTTTGGAGAAATCTTGTGTGGATTTAACGGGGAAAGTGGGGGTAGGAACCATCAAATTTTCGAACGGAGCATCGTATGAACCTCATATCATCCCATGACATTAAATCTAAATGTCATGGGAACCAAGGTGAATTTTCTTTAGATATACTCTATCTATCTCTGTATATTCATTTAGTTTGACTTTTTTAGTCAAATAAGACAAACATTATTTATCAATTATTCTCAAATTGTATTTCATATTAATACAATAAAAATTAAATTTGAAAGTTTTAATAAGATAAATCTAATAAAAATATTTTTATACTGGTCGTAATATACACTACAATTTTTATTTATTATCCAAAATCCATTCAGTTTGACTCAAAAAGTCAAATTAGACAAATAAACTAGATTCGAGGTAGTAATTTATAAAAAAGAACAATTGGTCAAGTTTGAAATAATAATATGGCAGACTTTATCTCTTCTGTAACATTAGAAGTGCTCCAAAAACATAGTGGCATCGCTACTGGCCAATGTCAACAAAACCATGCCCAAAATATAATATACATTGTGAAAAGCAAACATTTCAGTGTTTCATAACATCAAGACTTCCTATTTGGGGAAAGTCTTTTTTAGTAAATGTTTCATGTTTTAGTTTTATTTAAGTACATTTATTAAGAAACAAACAAGCAAAATGAAAGTTAAGGCAAATGTTGGGATATTGAAGAGATTTGCAAGTCTCAGGACCAAATTTTCATGTCATTTACGAGTTAAAGAAGATTCAGTACACGCCACCACAGACAATAACAAGGGGGGCTGTTTACCAGATTCTATTTACATGGAGAGAGATCAAAGGGCTTTTTTCCTATATATATATATATATATATATATATATATATATATATATATATATATATATATATATATATATATATATATATATATATATATATATATATATATATATATATATATATATATATATATATATATATATATATATATATATATATATATATATAACCATACCTCTTCTTCTTCTTCTTCATATTAAATATTCGGAGTACATCAAGAAAAGAGCGTCGGGGTAATCCTTAGGCAGGCTCTTGATGTAGAGATAGAAACGCCGCAAATCCTCCTTGGAAACGGCATCGGGGTCCACCACGTCGTCGCTGGACGTGAGGACCCACAAGTCTCTCGACTGGACTCTCTTCAAGCTTCCACGGCAGAACGGGCATGACTCTGATCTCGTATTCCTGCCCATTCCAGGAAAAGGGTTAGAGAAAAAGGACCACGATGGAATCATAGAATGTACGATAGGGTAGAGTAGGCATTGACACGGTACCGGTCCGGGTAGGGGCAATATGGTAAATGTTTCATATACGAAAATAAGATCGTAAACGTTTTATGCTAAGATAAGACCTATAATGCCAAAAAACAATATGAAATGCCAACACATAATGCCAAATTGCGTGGGTTTCACAATGTCAACCTTCTTATTTAGAGGACAAAACGTAGGTCTTATTATGGTATAAGTTTCATGTTTTAATTTTATTTAGGTAGATTTCTATAAAAATAAGAAAGAAAAAAATAGAAATGAAACTTGAATGTCCGATTCAGGTCCCAAAATGGAGGACCGGAATTGTCCCCCTTCCTCCGTGGTCGATTCTGGTTTCCAAGAATGGAGTCAATGGACCACCGGTCTGATCCTGGTTTGGAACAAACCTTGTCCACCCCTATGATGGGCCTTATTAACCCATTATTCTTTCTTGAAATTTCCGATGTGGGGTTCTTAAACGGAAACAAATATGGACAAAAGAAATCCAATTGGAAAAAAAGAAAAGATGGAAGAATTCAAGTACCAATCGCGATAGCAATTCATGCACAAGGAATGGCAGCAATTAGGCAAGACCATTTTGGTGCAAGGCTCTAAGCATATTCCACACTCGGCTTCCCTCTCCCTATCAAAGTCCGCAAATTTCGATCCCCCTCTCAATCTTTTCTTCCCTATGCTTTCCCGGGCACGGTTTTCATCCTTCGCGTCTGTCCTTAGTTCCACCAAGTCAAGATGGAGCCGGCGGAGCGTTGGCAGTATAACAGCTGTCATTTTAATGATGTTGATAGCGAGCAATGTAAGAGTCTGATGGGGAAAAAACATTAAAAACAATTTCAAGTGTTTGTTTGTTTGTTTTTTTCATTTACGAACCGTAAAAATCGCTAATAGTTGCCTTCCTTCCGTGCCTGGATAGCTTTAGTCTTCCTTCAGCATCTACCTGGCAAAGATAGGAAAGCTTAACTCATGACTAAGAATTATTCTTCTTCTTCTTCTTTAAGGAGAAAGTCCTTCAATTAAGGACATTACCTTGTAAATTAGGATGTAGATAGGATCGAGGTACTTGAGAAGAAGAAAGGAGCAGGAACAATCAATCCAACGGAGCAAAAAAAGAAAAACGGGGGCAAATTGATTGTAGACCAGTTCCATTTGAAGGCAAGATCTGCCTTTCTGTCTTGGAATTGCAGCAGCTCTGCAATGCCGGAAACCATTGTAACAAATTAGGACAAAATCACATATTCATCCCATCCGAACCCCCAAAATCCTAATGAAGATAAGAATTGTGTGTTTGTGATTGAATCCAAATCAACAACAACAAACAAACCCATAGAATCCCACAAAAGTAGGGTCAAGGGAAGGGTGTTGTGCCTAAGCAGACCTTACCCATACTTGAAAGTAGAGAGACTATTTCCAAGATGTCCCAACACAAAAAACATCGATAGAGTAAAGTAAAGAAACAAAATCAATCAAACAAACCAAGATTTTTTCGCATCACGTGGTAAGTTTAAGTATGTTTAATCAAAACTTGTTATGACCATTACAGTTCTAGCAGACCTCAATTTTCACATTAATCGATTGAGAGGGCATTTGGGTATGCTTAACTTTCTTGAAAAGTGATTAGAGTACTTTGATAACAAAACCTAAAAGCACCTCAAAGGTATTTCTTCGATTCTACTTCTCCGTCTTTGTAAGAAGCTGATAATCAAAGACCTCCAAACATTTCAAACTGGGTTTATCCAAAACAAAAGCAACTGAAATCATTTTCGAAATCAGTCTCAAACAACCTCTAATTATCAACCATCATCATTTCTCCTTATTACCCAATACAAAACCCAATAATCAATGTATTGTAGATGCCTCCAAAAAAGGTCAGACACATAGATTATCAAAAAATAAAACAATAATAATAATAAGATAAAATTATTGTCCAGCTAATTCTAACCTAACAATCATCTGCTTCTCCCAAAAAAGGTGAGAGAAAATAGAAATTGACTAAAAGTCCAATAATTTCACAGGAATCCCCAGAAAAAGTAACCATAGATTGAAAAGGTCAAAAGCAACTTACAGAGCATTTGCATGTTGAATATCGGCTTCAAGAACTTTCAAGGACTCTTCGTATGAGTTTCTTCCAAGCTGATAAAGCATCATCTCCATATCTCTCTCTCTCTCTCTGGTTTTCCTCTTCTTTTTCTCTCTAGTTTCCTTCTTTCTTGAATTTGCAGTCAATCAAAATTCTTGGTTTTCGCTGGAGCAGGAAAAGAAGGAGAGTCCCAAAGAAAAGAATGAGTTTTTTCCCCTAAAAAAGTAATCTTTTTATGGTTTCTTGACTTGAAATTGAATTGAAATGAAATAAATACTCCAGAAATAAGAGGAAACCCCAATCTTAAACAAAAGATAACCTTTAGCAACAATATAAGACCAAGAATATGTCCGGGCATCTCAGCCAGGGGCGGCTTTGAAATATGACAGCTTTTGGGTTTTCCTCTTACCGGGTTCCCTTTACTAACCAAAGATTTACTAGGTATTTATAAAGAATGACTAGACGTCACAATAATAATAATTTTTTAATAAATATTTATCCGAGACCTGATCTGAATATAATAATTTTTTTATCCGAGACCTGATCTGAATATAATAATTTTTTAATAAATATTTTATTGATCAAACTCGAAGATAACTGAATTTGAAATAACTCGACTTGACCAACCTACTAATATATGAATTTTTCAAAATTATGTATTTTAATATAGAAAATAGTGTAATAAAAAAAATTTATTTTATTATTTTTCAATTACTCATTTTTAGTGTATAAATTTATATTTTTATATAACTTTTAAAGACATCACATAATTATCTACGGAGTAATTTTTTTCAAAAGTGATGTATTTTTAATCTTTTTACTATTCATTACATATATTGTTAAACATATCTAAAAGGGAATTAAAAATTCAAAATAAATAATCTAAGAGGTTTAATATATATGTATTTTGATATTTTATTACTTTTTTAGTTCAAAATGTAAATGTTAATATGAATTTAAAAAGTTCTTAAAATAAATCTGATAACTCATTTGGGTCGACCGTACCCGATTACACTGGGTCATTAATATGTAGTTCTCAATTCGAACATGAATTTATCCGAACCCGATATAACCTGCAACAAAGTGATCAAAATCAAATCCGATCTGACCACCGATTTGCTAGCTCTAACTGAGCCTCATCTCTGGGTGTCCCCCCAGACCCGGCCAAACGCCCACTGAAAAAAGGTAAATTAGACTTTAATTGCAGATTGATACAAAAAAGTAGAGATTGCACCTGATACTTGCAGAGACAATATGCTTGGCATGGTTATCCCCTAACGCAGTTGCTAGAAATCAAATTCAGGTCTTACCCCTTTAACATTCCTTGTCTTTGCCAATTATTGTACAATGCCAACCGACAAAGATTTATTCATTTATTTATAAAAATATACGGGGTAGTACACCATAAAATCACTCCATATATCCAAAATAAAATTTTAATATTTTTATCTTCAAAATAAGAGTGTCAATTTTAAAAGTACTCGAAATTAAGCATTGTGCATTTAAAAATATATTTTTGCTATTAAAAATTCTATTTTGACATATAAAATATATTTTTGTTTTTTTATTTACTTATATATCTATATGCTTGTTTATATACTTTATTTGTCCGGTTTTTTTTACACTTTCAATTTTATGAACTTAAAGAAAATTGAAAAACATGAAAAGTACAAAATAAAAATTGATTTGTAGAGAAAATTATTTTGAGCCACATGTTCATTACTACTCTACAAATGATTAAAAGAGTTTTTCTTGTTTACTCACATACTCTACAAAAATTATGCGAATTCTTCATAAACTTTAAAAATTATATTAATGATTCTTTAACAATTAAAAACATTACATCAATAATCTTTTTGTGCCAAATTTGAGAAGTGAAATTTGCACTGAATAAGACTAAAACATAAGTCATTTTCCAATGTAAGACTTAAAATTTTTTATTCCCTAAATATCACTTAACAATGACTAGTTAGAAAAATAATGTCCAAATGATGCTGAACATTTAGTTGAACAATGACTAATAAATAATGTCATAATGACCAATGGTCCTACATTCTGAAATAAAAATATATGGTCCTATATTGAGAAAGTCATTATGTTTTAGTCTTTATTTAGGTAAATTACCCATTTGAGAATGCATCAATAATCTCTCACACTTGAGAAAAGTATATATATTAAAAAATAAAGGAGAGTATGTGTGTGTGTGTGTGTGTGTGTATATATATATATATATAACTAATCGATCATTTCTCTAAAAAAAGATAGATATGGTGGTTTATTTTGCGATCATGTACTTGCTGGCATCATAATCATGCTATTAATACGGAGTATTTGCTTTTCAACAAAACCATTTCAAAATATTGTTGATTTAAAGAAGGTCATGTGTGATGCGCACTAATTAAATACTCCTCCATCCAAAATTTTTGTCACATCTTCTTTTCCAATCATCACGAGAATTTTTATTTATTTGTACGTTTTCATTGATTATCTGATAAAAATAAAATATTCTTGACTTCTCTTATTTTGAAAAATGTTTCATGTAGAGTTTTGAAAATGTAAATTTAATTTTTTTATTTATATATCAATATTTAAATAAAATAAATTTAAAAAATTTAATATTTTACTTCGTTTTTTGAAATATCGTAAATATTTTGGAACAAAGAGAGTACTAGTATTGTGATGTGGCTGTTTCAGCAAGTCAAAATTGTTTATAACCTATTTTTTTACATACTTATATGGCAGTAGATGACGTGTTTATCTGTACTTATAAGCTAACTTATAAGTTGTTTATAAGCTTGGGAAAAAAATAACTCCCTCACCTATTATGAATATCTCCAAATGACATATATATCATTAAGTTCATTTTATCTGGACGAAAGAATTTTTAACTTATAAGTAATTTATAAGTTAAAAATTATCTATAAGCAATAAATCAATAAGCAATAACACAGACAAACACCAGCTACTATATATATATATACTAGTATTAGAGTCATCCGTTTTGAAACACTAGTACTATTACAAATTTTTTTCTCTCCTCTCTCGATAACTTTTGTTTGTTTATGTGATTTCATTAAGTATTTATTAAAATAAAATATTCTTGTCACCTCTTGTTTTGTAGAACTTTTGACATAGTTTTTTAATATGTAATTTTTATATCTTATTGATATACCAATTTGTAAATAAAATGATTTCAAAAAGTAAGAAATTTTACTCCGTAACCTACAATTTGTAATCAAATTGGGGACGGATCGGAGGGAGTAATTTTTTTTGCATATTCTTTCATATATAGCAGTTTTTTCTAATATGTTACAAAAGCCAACTTTGTTTTTACAACCAATGAACAACCATAGAAACTGATAATTTAATTGGATGTCACGACCAAATGTTGAGTATTTCGAAAAATCGTTGAATAGAAAAAAATCATTATTTATAATTACTTCTACTTTTTACCTAATTAACTTTCATGTGACAGCCATTAAAAAACCAAAAATTTTCCTATGACTTGAGTTTTATGACTTTATTCTACTCCATATAAAATTATAGTGGGACCAACTAATATGTGGCTGGGAATCATCGCATGTCATTGCATGTATTGTTAAGTGCATCCCTAAGACCCTAATTACTCCATCTCTATTCATATTTATAAAAATTAAGTACATTGAATACGATTAAAACATAAGTTATTTTTTAATGTAGGATTTAAACTTTTTTATTCTTTAAATATAACTTAATAATGACTAGTGATAAGAATAATAATCAAGTGATACTGGACATTTAGTTGAATAATGACTAATACATAATGACCAATGATCCTCAATTGGGAAATAAAAACATATGATCCTATATTGAGAAAGTTATTATGTTTTAGTCATATTTAGGTAAATTACCCTATAAAGAAATCTTCTTGGTGTAAAAGATGAAGATTACGGCGGGGGAAAAATATAATCCGAACTTATAACACGTTTGGATTTTACAACAAAAAAAATAAGTACAAGAAATCAGCGGTGGTCGGAAAACTAACGGAGAAGGAAGGAAAGTAGAGTCGCCAGAGCTTTCTTTAAGGTAGTATCGCCTGCCTCCCGCACTAGCAACAACGTGGATAATCTCCTTCCAAGATAGAACCGCTAACGTGCAATGTCTAGAGTGGTAGACCAATGCACCGACGAACTGGAACGAAGTAGAGTTACTCGCCAGAAGAAAACGATCAAAAATAGTGGGAAATTAAAGAGAGTTCAAACGCAGAGAGCTTTTTTGAGTTCGAGTTGGTGGTCATCTCTACCAACAAACGTCCACCCGCGTGCAAGCGTGCATGCTGAGCTGAGCCGGATGGCGGTAGTGCCCGAGGGATCCCTTGGTTCTTCCTTCATAAATTGCTTTACAATGCTATTAAAGAATATCATATAAATAGAGGAAGTTGAAGAACCTATGAATTCAATGTGGGACACAAGAATTCACCCCTACCAAGTATTCGATTTCGAGAAATAATTTCTCATTCACCCGAGCACTAATTTTGATGCACAGTATGTCAAAATACTCATCTCACTTAGAATAATATTTGTCCATAATTATTTTGAAAAATAGTTTTGTGGACCCTACCGAATTTCTATCCAAAGTTGTCCCGTTATGAGTAAAAATTCCAACACTTGGATAGGATATAAACAAGTATGAAAATATCAAAATAAAATTCCTAAGTCTTTTAAAATCAAAATATGAATATAATGACAGTGTGGTGTAAGAGTACTCCTTGACAGTGTAATAGAGAATTGATGACAATATAATATATCAGTGTTATTAGTCAACTATCGGCGATCCGCAACGACACTTTGTTGGCAGGGGGTGACGGATGGATGTGTGGCTGTGATAGTATGACACTTACAATGTGAGAATATGATAAGCGTGACAGTGTAACAATGACATTATAATTTCTGTTTTGGTTTTTTAAAAGACTTGTGACTCTTTTTTGACATTTTTATAGCTTTTTTTTACTCATATCTAGAAAATTCTTCCTTATTTATATCATCACAATTTTGTCATAACATTTGAACCATAACACCTTAATCACTTTTTCAATTCTCCACCTTACTCTAATTATGTAAAACCTTGTATTAAGATGGAAATATGAAGAGCTCAAAGGATTGATAGTACTACTCGTACCAACAAGGTGCATCATCTTTTCGAGAGCTCATCACTTAGAAACTCTAAAGTTAAGCATGTTTGTCTTGGAGAAATTTTAGGATGGGTGACCCTTTGAGAAGTTCCTTGGGCGCGCATAAGTGAGGACAAAGTGTGCGGGAAAGACTTGTGTTGGTTTGTGAGGTCAGTCTACAATCCTATGAGCGGACACATACGGACAAGCTGGGGACCGGGGTGTTACAAATTATTTTCTTTCCTTATTATTTAAGGGAAAACAAACTATGCCCCTAAAATATTTAAAATTATCACAAAATATCCTTGTTTTTTATTCCAATATCAACAATGTTTCAATAAAATATGTTGGAGAGAACAATTTTTCATGAAAGTTATTTTCTCCTAGAATAATTGTTGTTAGAGTCTATTCTACATCGGAAATTGAATAGAAAAATAATCGATATATAAGATCTTGAATTGAACTAAGTAATCAATTGAATTCAATCTTTTAATGTGGTTCAACTCAAGTGCCTTATTGCCCAATCGAGTTATCTTTAAACCATCTTAAATTCTATCATGGTATCGAAGCAGGTTTAGCTCACCTTATTTGTCAATGTGTCTGTCTAGACGTTCATTCTTAGCGGCTCGTTAGTCTTAAGCACATGCCAGTTGTTTGTATGGAGTATATAGCCAACGACCTGTGGCATATTTAACCCGATTGCTCGTCTAGGCGTCTATACACAACGGCTCGTGGTCCTTTAGGTGTTGGCGCTAAAAAAATCAAGGGGATGAGAGTCCATTTGCAAGTGGTAAACCGGTTAGATTCAAAATGGTCCGATTGCCCACTTGAGGGAGAGTGTCATAGAGTTTATCCCACATCGGAAGCTGAATAGAAAAATAATCGGTATATAAGCTCTTGAGTTGAACAAAGTAATTGATTAGATTCAATCTTTTAACGTGGTTCAACCCAAGTGCATTATTGCCCAATCCAGCTATCCTTAACACCATAAATTCTATCAATTGTCTAGACACATAATATCCCACAACCAAATGCACCCTTAACTTTCTATATTTTTAAACTTTTTTAATTACTTTCCAACTTCTTATGTTTCCTTTGAATATTGATTTAAAAACTATTTGCGTATATCTTTCATAATAATAGTAATAATATCATATACAATTATTATTACTATTATCAGAATGGTTTTAGAGCCACTAAATCCGGAGTGGGAGGGTTTACCTGGGTCCGGAATGTCGAGGATAAGAACCATCAAGTTATAATTATTAAAAAGTTATGGAGTACATTAAACCATAGAATTTTTCTTATGAGACATTATCAAATATATTATTAAGACCCATACCGAACTTATTTTCTTTAATAAAATTTTTATCTTTAATTAGGTATAAGATGAGCTATACAAAAGAATAGATTAATAATTTTATCTTCAATAAGTTTCTATACAAAAGAATAGATTAATAATTTTTTTAAAAAAATTATATTTTACTCAAAAGACTTTTGGACCATTGTGGTTTTTATGAAGAAACAAAGGATGGAGTTAATCATGACCAGTTTCTTTTTTATGAATAATTCATTTAATTTTTGTTGAAAACTTGTAATTTTTATTTTGTTTACGTAAATTTTAATAAGTTCAAAAGTCCTTGATTTTTTAATATAAAATACATTGTTTTTAAATCATCATGTTTTAAGGGCTATCATATACTCCCTCCGTCTTACAAAACATTTCAACTTTATCATTTTATTCGTTCTATAAAACATTTCAATTTCTCCAAAATAGACTATAATACCCTTCGTTAACCCTACTTTCTCATATCACATCCATCAAATCTCATATTACTTTTTGATTACTTTTTCACACAATTAATCATTATTCATGTTTTGAAACATCTCCTTTTAAAAAAACCTTAAGGATAAAATTGGAAAGTCAAACACCAAAAAACACTTCTCATAAAATATCAAAAAGTCAAATCTGGTAATATTTTCCAGGACAGAAGAAGTATAATTTTTCATAAGTGATGAATGAGAATTTAAATCATCCTATGTAATTTATTCATGTGTCATGTTTTTTAAAATTTGTTATTAAGATGACACATGTCAACATATTAGACACATGAGTCTCAAATATTATATTAAGGGATAATCAAATAAGTAATACTGGAGTCACAAACAAAACACTTACAAAATTTGCAATCTTACCATTCATGCACTAAAGAAATAATTTCCTTTAATAAATTTTTTTATCTTTAGTTAGGTGTTATAAGATAAGCTATATTTTAGCTCAATAAATTTCCATACAAAAGAATAGATTAATCATTTTAAAAAAAATTATACTTTCATCAAAAGACTTTTAACATCTTTATTATTTTTATAAAAAAAGACGGAGTTAATCATGATTAGTTTCTTTTTTATGAATAATTCATTTAGTTTTTGTTGAAAACTTATCAAATATATTACTAAGACCTATAAAAAAACAAATTTTCTTTAATAAGATGAGTTATGTTTTAGCTCAATAAATTTCTATAGAAAAGAATACAATAATAATTTCTAAAAAGTTAAATTTTACTCAAAAGACTTTTAATATCATTATCGTTTTTATGAAAAAAGACATAGTTATTCATGATTAGTTTCTTTTTTATGAATAATTCATTTAATTTTGTTAATTGAAAACTTAAAATTTGTATTTCGTTTACATAAATTTCAATAAGTTCCAAAGTCCATGACTTTTTAATATAAAATACATTGCTTTAAACTTGTCAAATTTTAAAGATTGACATAAATAATTTTTCATAAATAATAAATGAGAATTTAAAGAATGTCATGTAATTTATTCTCGTGCCATGTAATCTAAAATTTGCCATGTAAGTTGACATATGTCAACATCTAAGAAACAAGAGTCTCAAATATTATAGTAAAGTAAGTGTATGGTTTCACATACATATTTTTTTCGAAGTCAATTTCCGGAAAGTGACTTTCCGATTATTTTTTTCGAAGTCAATTTCCGCTGCAGGCTGCCCTTCTCTTTTATCGTCAATCAACATTCTCTGTAAACCTTCTCCTTCGATATTTTCTTATCTTCCAACCTTCTCTTATCATCAATCAAGGATGCCAGATGAAGTGTATTGGAACCAAGAACCTTCAGGTAACTTCTCTATTACTTCATGTCAAGGAACCAATTCAACCAAAAGCTCAAGCTTGTGGTTGTGGCCCAGGAAGAGTTATTTATATTCTAACATGCCTCCTCACGTGCAGGCGTAGTGTTTTTCAAGCCTTGCACGTGAAACTTTTTAATTTTCTTAAAACTGGGTGGCGCTGAGTTTCGAACCCGTGACCTCTTAGTCAACAAGGCTCCGATACCATGTCAAAGAACCAATTCAACCAAAAGCTCAAGCTTGTGGTTGTGTTGTGGCCTAGGAAGAGTTATTTATATTCTAACACTTCAACATATATATATGGTTAGGGGTTTCAACCTTCAACTGCAGGACAATAGTTGGACTACAATATGGAAACTCAAGGTCCCGAACAAGGTCAAAATTTTGTTATGGACAATGAGCCATGATAAATAGTTGGGAAATGCTGAGCGCAAAAGGAGAGGCCTCACAGTCGATGGAAACTGCCTTGTGTGTAGCGGCCAAGAAAAGACAATTGAGCACATCTTCAAAACCTGCACCAAGGCTACACATGTCTGGAACAACATTGGAGGTAATGTGGATACTAACACTGGTGGTGGCATGAAGGATTGGATCCACACAAATCTTTTGCAAAAGAGAAACAACGATATCGATGGTGACCGGGGCGTCATTTTTGCTACTACTTACTGGTGGATCTGGTGGTGGAGAAATGCTATGACGTTTGGTATGGAGGAGCTTGACGATAGACGAAAGCCATGTTGGATCAAAGAGACACTTAAAGAAACCAACACAGCCTTTGTAAGGCAACAAATGGTGAGCAATTCTACCAATTATACTGATCACCCGCTTAAGTGGAGGATGGCTCAGAATTGTGAATGGACCCTTAACGTTGACGGGAGTTGCAAATCACTTATCAACAAAGCAGGCATCAGCGGAATCCTCCGAAACAGAAGAGGTGGGTGGAAAGGGGGCTTTACGGCTAATGTTAGTCCAAATTGTGCGACGTCAGTGGAAGTCATGGTAATTGCTAGAGGCATTGAGTGGGCTTGGGAAAAGGGCATTAAGGAACTTGAGGTTCAGACAGACGCGAGTGAAGTTATAAAGTGGATGGCCGACTACACTTCTCTTAGAGGCCCTAATCGTGATATCATTCATGAGATTAAGCATAACTGGCAAAGAAAGTTTACAAGGATTGAGTTCAAAAACATCTTTCGAGAGCAAAACTTTGCGGCTGACTGCCTTACTAAAATTGGAACCTTCCAGGAGGCAAATTGGATTGACCACGAGGACCCTCCGCCTGGGATGGATGACATCATTGCTAATGACATGATGGGTGCTACCAGAGTTTGTAGAGTGCACCTGAGTTAGTTTGGGGTCTCCCCTTCTTTTTTGATTAAAAAAATATATGTGTCCGTGTATTGTATGTTTTTATGATGGGGTTTTAGGTCCACTCAATTTGATTGGGACGCCTACGATATTTTGTTCGCAAACTCCCCCACTCAGTCTCAATAAACACCCCACCCAAGCTCAACCTGAGCTCATCCTCACACTCCCGTCAATTGAACATCAAAAATTTAGTTTTGACCTCAAACTCAACTAAACTTGCGGATCATGAAGATGGGTTAATATAGAGATTGGGTGGAGGTTTGATGAGGCGAGTTAGAAATTATCAATTTTAAAATTTTGGGTGTACAACGACAATTTGAGCCGAATCAAGTTAGGGTCTGTTTGAGAATAATGTTAGAGATTAACGTTAGCGTTTCAAAAAAACTATCAAAGAACGTTTTTAAACTATTCTGTACACCTAAAATTTTATCAAAAAACTAATCTTTAAAACTAACCCACCCAAATTTTCGTTCATTGCTAAACTGCGAATGCAGAGTCAGGATGGGAGCTCAATCGGACTAGATTTCACACCTTCCAGTACGTGTTAAAGCGAGTGTAGCAGCTCAATCGGAGGGTTTCATGGCTCCAGTCGCTCCCAGATCTGGAGACGCCATTTTCGCCAGCGTAGAACGAGTGGTATTGCAATTCCACATTTGAAAAAAAAGTTTTTTTTCTGTTGTTGTTCGTGTTAAACATGAACGTTTTGAATGTTTGTTTCGTATCTTTATTCCCTGATCCAGAACGCGGAGCTCTTCACTCTGACGTATGGCGCGATAGTGCGTCAACTGATCACCGATCTGGAGGAAGTCGATGAAGTAAACAAGCAGCTTGATCAAATGTACTTATTACGGAGTATTCTTATTTTTTTTATGTTGTTCTAATTAAAATTTGAACTATTTTAGTTATGTTCATCACATTTTTTAGGTGATTACAGGATTTGTTAATCAATTGGTGGAAACCCCCAAATAATTGATTTCAATTTTTTTTTGTAATTTGATGGTGTTTGAATTCATGTGGTTTGTTCTATCTGGCAGGGGGTACAACATTGGAGTTAGGCTAATTGATGAGTTTCTTGCAAAGTCAAATGTATCTAGATGTGTGGATTTCAAGGAGACTGCTGAAGTCATTGCCAAGGTGTCTTGTTCTTTAACCTTTTTCCCCGTCAATGTTGTTCATTGAGTGGTTTTGGGATCTTTCCTATGTGAACTATGATCTCTTTGATGTACATCCATCAGCATATCTTTTATTTTTCTTTTCTGAAACAAGTTAAGAAGTTTCCTATACTGGTTGTTTTTTTACCTTTTGTAGTTCATTTCATTTTCTTTTCCATAAAATGAATGCTCTCATGTAGGCGGTAGCCAGTAGCTATGGCCTTGTCTAAGAAGATCGTTTTTTATTAATTTTAGCATTTTTGATAGTTTTTTAATTGTTCAGGTTAATTTTGAAAACTCTAAAGCTAAACGATGCCATTAGATAACCTTCCCAAGACACTAAAGCTAAATGGCGAAGCTGCTTCCAAACATACCCTATGTGATACTCCCTCCATCCCAAAATCCTCTCCCCACTTTCTTTCTGGTTTTGAACATCCCACAATATTCTTATCATTGCTTTTAAGGATGGAAATATGTGGCTCATATGCTTTCTCATTTTTCTACAAAAACTTTAACTGCATAATTTCACTTTTCTTAAACTTTACGTCATTTTCACATGGGAAGTTTATTTTGGGACAGAGGGAGTATTTGTTTTAGTTGCTGATGATATCTCATTTTTGGTTCCTAAACAGGTTGGTTTAAAAATGTTCTTAGGTATCACAGCAACCGTGACCAATTGGGATGCTGAGGGAACAACCTGCAGTCTAATTCTAGAGGACAACCCGCTGGTGGACTTTGTTGAGCTTCCCTATACTTGTCAAGGTCTCAACTACTGCAATATCCTAAGCGGAGTTATCCGGGGTGCATTAGAGATGGTAAGTTTTCTCTCATGTCTACCTGTCATGCTATGCAGTGAAGTTTTAATGAGCTGTCTAGGCTTCTCTTTTGAAATGTTTTCTTTTATTTGTTTTTCCCTGCATCTGAACATCTGGTTTACTAGTGACATTCCTTTTGGCTCGGTACCTGCATGTTTCATGATCTAAAAAGAGAATATGAAATCCATTCCTGGGTGAACGTTGGTTCGCTTGATGAACATTGCTGGGGTTAAGGCTCATGCTTATGGGTACTTAATTAGTAAAGCCGACACTGGGGGAGTTCAAAATAAACATTTTTTCTCACTTCAAAAAATGAAATTGTTCTTAAAACATTGGTATATGATATTCGGGAATATATTGTCTTTTAGAAAAGAAATAACACTGGATGTGGTTCAGTTATATACTTATAATTCATAAAACCAAACATAACTAGTGTATCCCACTTGGAAGTTGGGTAATATTTATAATTCATACGCAATATGAAATTTATGGAATCCGAACTTGGTTTAGACTGTCATCCACAACTGGTATCGAACCAATTGGACTTCGAGTCAAATACTTTACCCGATTACAAAATCAAATTGTCTGCAATCGAATTATCCTAATGGGAAAAATGAACTTCAGTGGTTTCAGGTTTCGTAGATTGATTTGAAGTATCCTGCGCTTGAAAAAGACATTGTCTATCACAAAAGTACTGCACTGTTATTTTAAAATGTGATAACTATGAGATGGTCACACTTTTGCCTTCATTGCCAATTGAGCTAAAAGAGTCATTTTGACAATGTTTTAGCTTTGGTAAGCAATGGACTAAATCAAAATTACAAATTAAACCTCCCTTGCTACTTACATTCTATGATGTTTTGGGCAGTAAATGCATCGATATATCAAGGGTCTAACAGAACAAGCTCTCTGTTTTTTAAAGGACCCCAAAGGAGTGGGAATCACACTAGATTGTTGTTGTATTAGATGGACACATTGGTGTTTTTGTTTTTTCAATGAACTGAACTGTCTAGATTTGCCAGGTGTCAATGAAAACAGAGGTCACATGGATCCGTGATATGCTTCTAGGGGACGATGTGTTCGAGTTACAGCTGAAATTGATTAAACAGGTTCCTGAGGAGTACCCTTACAAGGATGATGAGTAACATGCTTCTTCATTTATGCTGAATATCATGTAAATGCAATTTGTCATGTTTTGTGGGTTGTCCTCATTAATAAAGTACTTTGGCATTTGACTTTAGTTACCACCTTAGCCTATTCTGTTCTTTTTCCAGCATCTCAAATATTTTGTGTTAAATACTAGTGTTATATCTGCATATTGTTTCAAGGTTTTCTTGCCTTCGTTAATGTGCTCGAATGGGTGTTTTTTACGCATGTTACCGATTTATGGGCCACAGTTCTTCGGCATTCCTCGGAAATGCTCTCTCCAAACCCTAGTATTCATAGTCTATGTTCTTAGTATGTTTCAGACTATCTTGTAAATCAACTGCAGGTATAGGCCCTGTTTGGCAAATTGTTACTGTACATGTTTCAGTTGTTTTAATACAGTAAATGTTTGTCTTGTTTGTGAGAGTTTTCTAAGAAAAAATGTTTGCCAGATGATTTTTTTGTTAGCGATTTGAGATTTTAAGGTAAAAGCTCAAGATGAATGGCCTGTTTGGGAATAGCGTTAACGATTAGCGTTAGCATTTTAAAAAGGCTATGTACATGCAGCGTTTAGCGTTAGCGTTTTCAAAGTAATCTGTACCGTTAAAATTTTATTCAAGACGCTAACGCTAATCTCTAACGATATTCCCAAACAAGCCCGAAAAAGTTATCTTCACAAAAAGCTCTTTGCCAAATATATCTATAATTAATAACTATTGCAATAAACGAGAGACAGAGTACTCCGTAGAATATAGTCAATATACCATGTCTTGTACTTTGCAATGAATTATGGAGTATATTGTTTGTTCGTCTTTAAATAAAAATTTTACTTTTCTAAAAATTTTAAAGGAAATATGTGGCTAATAATATTACCTCTTGTAAATAAATTTTAATAACATTGTTTTTAATTTTTTCAATGCTATTAAATTTTGTGAAATTAAAGTAAAATGTAATCCAAACTACAACTACCAAAGTTTTTCATCATGGTTCTTCCTCCACCATTTAACTACCTAAATCTCTATATCCATAATGTAATATATTTATACTTATAATGTACTTTTTTTAATTGTTTAGCATATTCAAATATATTTGAGAACTTACCGAATCGGATAAACACATATTCGTAGTCATATTTAAAAAAGTAGCAAACATTTATATTCTCATCTTCATTCATTTTTATTCAAATACGAATTCGAACACAATCGAGACTCACCCAAAGTTGCATCCATATAATTTAGAAGATCAAGAATTTGCCAACTCCACTCTTAGAAGCTTTCAACAACTGGCCAAGGTAAGATTGCCAATGAAACTGATAGAATTCCACATTCATGTTTTTTACTTTGTTATATTCATGAGCTAACACCAAGTCTTAAATACATTCCCATATATTTGCTACTGTTAATAATCTGTAAACAAGTTGTTGTGCAGTTAAAGAAGAAAAAAAAGATTAGACTTGTTTATGGTATATAGAGAATGATCATCTTGCAGAAGGGACTATTGATCCACTGGAAACATTGGGGCTCTGGGGATCCAAAAAAGTCGTCAAGAGCGTTTTTCGCGAAGATTGTGTTCTTGAACTCCCCGCAGAGCTCAACTTGTCGGTTCCCCTTTCGATTTTGATTGCCTCTTGTATGGCCACTATGATTTCCTGCATTCTTGGCCTCGAGTAGCTGTGCCGTTCCACGCATTGAATTGCCACTTCTGCTATCTTCCATACTGTTTCAATTTTCACGCGTCCTACAAGTTTGGGGTCTATGACACTCACAACATCACCCTTGTGGATCTGTGACCTCACCTGCAAATTATTGCCTCTCATGAGTTAGAAAGGAATTGGTACAAAAAGAACAACAGACCCAGTAAAATCCCACAAAAAGTAGGGTCTGGGGAGGAGGAGGCCTTACCCCTACTTTCCCCTACTTGAAAGTAGGGGTAAGATACCCTGCTTTTTGTGGGATTCTATTGGGTAAGATACCCTACAATACAAAGAGTAAAGAAATCATTCCAAATAAGAGTAAAACATAACATCTATCTTCAAAATAGGAGTTCTATGTTTTTTCTCCAAAATAGGAGTTTGCACTGTGACATCATAGCCCTGTATAGTGGCATTCCACTGTATTTTTTGGTACTATACATTGGCGTTATTGGCATTGTATACCTATTTTGGGGATTGGAAGAGAAAAGGAAATGTTCCTACCCAGTGAACAAGGCTCCAGTCAACTCCATATTGCTCGGTCGACACGGGCTTTCTACCAGAAATTAATTCCAGAAGTACGACCCCAAAACTGTAAATGTCACTTTTTTCTGTCAACTGCTGGCGCGCATAGTACCTTGTAGAGAAAACACGAAAGACATTGAGTGAGTGAGTGAGCCATATGAACAAAGTGTTTGTTTTCCCACACTCAAATTCGTGTGTATTTTAGTCAAAATAAATAAATTGTGTGTTTTTGACATCTCACATACTCAGGATCAAGGTAGCCTATGGTTCCTCGTGCCACACTTGAAACGTGTGTTATGTCGTCTTCAGTTTGCCTTGAAAGCCCAAAGTCGGACACTTTTGCTCGCATGTTGATATCTAGGAGAATGTTGCTGGTCTTCACATCCCTATGGATGATACTCGGGTTGCATCCGGTGTGCAAGTACTCAAGACCTACACAAGACAGGCTCAAAAAGAAATGGTTACTACTAACTTATGACTTTGAGATTTGTCAAAGAACCAACTCAACCAAAAGCTTAACGTTGTGGTTGAAGGTCCAAGAATGTTTTTATACTCCCTAGGCCAGCAAGGCTGTGATACCATGTCAAAGAACACGCTCAACCGGAAGCTCTTGCTAGTGGTTGGGGGCTTAGGAAAGGTTTTTATACTCTAACAAGATTGTTCTGCTTCTCGACAAAGAGAGACTACTAAGATGGTTTAGCTAACCTTTTGCTGCATCTTCGGCGATGCGCAACCGTTCTACCCACTCCAGATGCTTTTGATTGGTGGGATCTGCTCAACATGATATTGCGGTAAACAAAAAAGAGTAATTTAGTATAGCAAAATGGGGAATGTTTTGAAGAGGGCATACCGTGTAAATGATCCTTTAATGTCCCATTATGCATATATTCATACACAAGCATGCATTGACGTCCATCTTCATAGAATCCAATCAAAGGCACCAAATTTCTATGATGGATCCTTGATAACAGCGCAACCTGTGCATAGCCAACATGATTTTTAATCTATAATCTATAGCAAAAGATCTTTAATCTATGACAAAAGATCTCGGAAACACGCCCTACTTCTTTGAGATTTTTGTTGTAATATATAGCAAAAGATGATTATCTCATATTTTACCCCTTTCTACCGTTATCTTATTGGCAATAGATTATCTTATGAACAGATTTTGACCTCTGTGAAGAACTGTTTGGTTCCATGACTTGATGGATCTGCCATTATTTTGACTGCAATTTCCTTGCCATCTCTCAATGTTCCATGGTAAACCGGCCCAAAACTTCCCTTCCCAATTCTCTTTGAATATTTTTCTGTTGCTTCTTCTATTTCAGCAAGTGAAATATAGCATGCCACACCATCATCCACTAATGATCCGCCCCGAGTAATGGAATAATTGGTTGAATACTTTGTGCTGCTGGGCATATAGTTACCATTACCTGATACTAACACATTGATTGCCGAGGTAAAGATGATTGGTAAAATTTACTTACAGTCATGTAATTGTAATTGGCGGTGCATACCTTTGGTTTCAGTTCTTTGATAATAAGCTTTTTTTCTAAAGTAACACAGTAGTGCGGCACCGGCTATGAATACGATGACAAGAAAGGCAAGCACTCCTATTGAAACTTCAACTATTAGTTTGGTGTGTTTCTTGCTGTTTTCTCCTTTCCTTAACCGGGCATTTCCTTCGTATCTATAAAACGTACAAACTCACATCTTGTTAGAATATAAAAACATTTCCTGGGTTTTTATTTTACTCCGACTATTATATACTGTTACCTGAAGATTACTTTTCCTGTTAGCAACAGGGACGGAATTTCTCCAGCTAAGCTATTGTTACTTACATCTCTGCCACAACAAGACTAATAGCATTATTAGGAGTGCATTGGTGCAAGTAAAAATTTGTGCACTTCAAATGGAAGACATAATTTACTATTATCTCCTTTTTTAATGCTTCAAATATAAAGTTACCAAATGAAAAGAATCTAATCAAGGGAAGTATCAAGAACAATGCATACAGTTCCTGTAATTTTGGCATGCCTCCTAGGAAAGCTGGTAATGCACCAGTGAGATTGTTGTTCTCCAGATGTCTGCAGGTTTTTTTTACCACAAACAGATTGCAATATAAATGAGAAAGTAATTTTTTTTACAGAATGTGATTAAATGCGGGATTTGAGCGAGCGAAGAACTTACAAAACTCTCAAATTGATAAGATTGCTCATGTCTGGGATTACTCCACAGAAGAAATTTCCATCCAACCACCTACATTAGTTTAAAGCCACCGGATTATACAAGCAAAAAATAACTAAATAAATAAATTTTACAAATCACAACTCTACACAAGAAAAGGGAAGGATTGCACTCACAATTCTGTCAAAGCTTCCATGTTATTGATCACTTGTGGAATTTCACCCTTTACCTTCTTTCCTGATAGTGCACTGTTAAAAGCAGTCGTTACGGAGTGATATCTAATACTCCCTCTGTCTTAATGTAATTGTCCGCTTGCTCTTTGGCACATAGACTAAGAAGATGTGAATAAATGGGAAAGATGGCCTAAATACTCTTACCATATGGTGGGACTTTTATTAAGTGGTGTTGAGAAGGGAGAAAAAAAGACAACATGACATTTATTACTTTGCCACACAAATGGAAAGCGAACGAATACATTGGAATGACCTAAAAAGGAAAAGTGGACAAAGAAAAAGACCCCAAAGAACACTCACTCACATTTTGGTTATTCTTGGAGGTGTTGTTGTGCTGCACTTCACCCATTCCCATTGTGTGGGAATGCACGGGTCCCCCCACCCTTCTGTTGCCTCACTTTCCATTGACACCGATTTTATGGCTTCGAGAGCGTTCACTTCCATGTAACAACATCACATTTTGTTAGATTGATTCTGTGAAATTACTATAGGAATCATAAAATCTAGCTCAAATATACTGTGTTTTTTTACACAAATGGTTAACAAGATCACACACAGTATTACCATCTCCTCCATCTGTCTTGGCAGCAATCTTTACATATTTGCTTATTTCCATTGCATTCAACAAGGGACCAAGGGTAGAGTCATGGGTCTTTGCAAAGGCGAAAGAAAATATAAACTCAAGCGAAACATTCATGTAGCTGGGTTCATAGAGAGTGTAACTCCCATTTGCATTCTCAGCTATGTTGACCACAGCATTGCTGTAGTCTGGAATATAAGGCTGCTCCATTTTAAACTTCCTGGTTTCGTTCACGCCCAAGTCTTGAATCTCAGCAAAGTAAGCATACGCTCTAGCATTCGCAGGGAAATCTTCAAGATTTAGCCTGTAGCTAAGACTTCCTTTAGTCCCAACCACAGCACTTTGCATTACTTTAACAGGTGGGTACTCTCTTGTGTTTGTGTCTATGTACTTACTCGTGTTGATTCTTTCTGTGCCCGGAGCCACTCCTACCAGAAAATTCGGCCTTTTTACTGTATCCGATTCCCATATACGGTCATAAGGATCGTCAGGGTACCTGTGAGACACAATTTTAGTTGTTCTTTCGTTCATAACTATTTTTGAAATTCGTGACACATTCGACACCTACCCAAGATAACAAAGAATGTATTTGGAAATGTGGATGAAAAGCGTACCTTATTGCATCATTACTTTGAGCACCAAAGTTGACTCTTGCAGCCAATTTGAGGTAGAAGTTATCCTCATAATCTGTGGCATACATGGACAAGTTCAAAGGGCGAAGCTCGAGAGTAGAAATGAAAGGGAACCCAGTGGTTGCACAGCACACACACACACAAACCGAGTCTGAGGGAGCCCTTATGATCATTTCCTTCACATAAGTTCTGGAAGTTTCTTGGATGGATACGGTGGCCCACATTGTTGCATCCAAGTAGAGCTGAAATTTGGGGTAGATCGCATCTGCTGAATCGTTCCCGTACATGAATGTCGCCCTCACAATGTACCTCCTCCTCTCTTGTGTTCTTAGAGTGTAACAGTATTTACTTTGGTCTGCCGGGAACTCCCTCTTCGTCTGGTACTGCCGTGGGCTTCCGTTTATGTTGCTTACTTCCTCTGCTTTTCCATGGCTTATCATCCCACTGTCTGAAATCCATGGCAGGCCAGTTTTTGGGTCTGTGTAATTAGTTCTGCCTCCACAGTCAATACTGATGAACTCTGCACTTCCAATTCCAACCTTTCTTTACTTTCTTGGACCCAAAAGTAAATCTAACAATTGTGTTGTAGGCATATAATGCAGAAAATGTGCCAATACAATTGAAAATGAACATATTCATATTCAAATGATGACTTTTTTAGAGAGAGAAAAAAAAGTGGACAGAATATGAGAACAAAAAAAACACTAATGGGAACAACTAGAAAAACATTCTTTGAAGGAATACTGAACATATTATTATAAAAATTTAAAAATGTCACTGAATTTAGCTACATGTCACTGGACTATGCTGCTCACTTTCCAAAATACAACAAATTTTAAAGAATGACTAGTTAAATAACCAAAGAAAAAAAACTTGAAATTAGTTTATCATATCCTCCATTAATGACAACAAGCCAATATGCACTTTATACTTTTTAAGGTAATCTGTTAAGTGATTAGAAATAATTTGTTTCTAAATAAGGTAAGTAGACAGATAATTCTGGATGCCCAGAAAGGGAAAGTAACAACAAAATCCAGAGGGAGGGAGCAATTTGCAACAACTAACTGTATAAATATGTTCCACAAATTCTTTTCTTTCTTGATTTCATCATATGGAGTTTTCTTGGGATTCCCATGTTAATCTGTGAGCTGAAGCAGATCTAGTTTGTGAACAAAGAAGATATATAAAAACATACCAGAAACTTGGCACACCACAGATGGAGAGAAGATGACAAGTAGAAGAAACAATGGTGGGAGAGAATCCATGGGAGAAGAAGAAGAAGAAGAAAGCTAGAAGCTGTTCTTTGGGTTTCTGGGTTTTAACATTTGGGAGAAAAAGGAATCATCTATGCCTCTTTTTTTTTGTTGTGGAGTGCTCATTTCACATTACATTTCTGAATTCTGCCTTTTTTCCCCAGACAAAGCTGTTCAACTTCATTTTCCATCTCTTTAACTTTTTCTTTCCAATGGGAAGAATATTTGAATGTGAATACAGCTGCAAACCAGAAAAAAAATACCCAAATAGTCACTCAGTCTGAAAATTAAGTTACTTTTTTTAGTTCTATTTATGTAAATTATCTTTTTTTAAGTCTTAAAGTGCTTATTATTATTATAATTATAATTATACATAAATTTTAATTGCATAATTTTATTTTTATTAAATTTGGTGCAAAAGCAAATAAAAACTTAAATTTAAAAAGAAAGGAGTAATTTTTTTAATAGGGACTACTATTTTGATATTTTCTCTCCATAGTCGCCTGTTTTCTCCCTAGAAAAGAACAAGTCCATTCGTGTATTTAGACATTAGAACTGTGGAAATGGTGGCAGAGAAAATGTGATAGAGAGTTTTGGTGTTTGGTGGGAGTAGAAAATCTATGATAGATAGTTGTAGAGAAGTTTCATTCATATAGTACACATTTGATACCGAGTACCTAATACCTATACACCCACATATATTTACATATACATCTCAAGTTTTTTCCCTCTCATTTTAGTGAAATTTGCATTAAGAGAGCATTACGTCCAACTTATTTTTTCTGTTTATTACTTATTTTCATTATAATCAGATCAGACCAGACTGAATCAGACCAGATCAAATCAGAAACATCTTTAATAATAACTGCAATCAGATCAGACTAGATCTTCAAAAATCAGATTATATCAGATCAGATCAGGCAAACAGAACGCAATCTAAATAGTACCAAAACATATGTCTTTTCCCAACATAGTACCTACAATTTTTTATTCCATAAATAGTAGTTGTGTCCAGTGGCGGGAACAGTGCCCATTGGCGGTGATCATTTACTTGAACAATGTCCAATTGACATTGAACAGTGGTACTACATTAGAAAAATAAAAACATATGGTACTATATTGGAAAACTCACTATGTTTTAGTAATATATGAGAAAATTTACCTTCATTTTATTTCAAATGTATTTTACTTTATCTTGAGAAAAAGAGAATCAAAGTGAACGTCCATTAGATTCACGAAGGAGCCAACACTCGTGAACGTGGCATCGCTGATTAGATTGACATACGCAATTTTAATTTTTTGATATCGGATGATCAACATTCAAGACAACAGATATCAAGAAGCGACTAATTGAATGAAAGGTTGAAAGCGTTTTTAATTCACCAAATACTAAAATTAGAAATTCGGAAGTCTAAAGGTGATTAAAAGAGAGAGAGATAATGTAAAAGTGATTGAAAAAGTAATAGAGAGTGTAAAAGTAATGGAAAAATTTATAGGATTACTCCGACAAATCTCATATTCCACAAGAATACTTTAAAAAATCAATTAATTACATCATTACTCCAACAATTGCTTTCTTTTTACAAAATACTTAATCCACCACCTCACTTGCACAATTATATTCAGTAATATCTAAATAGATTTTTAAACTGATGACTTGAAAAATAAATTACTCTTTTCAGTTTTTATAAAAAGTATTACGTATTATTTATTCCTCATCCAACTCAGATATCAATCACGTGTCTCACAAATGGGGCTTGTCCTTTTAATTTGAAATTCTAAAATTGGATGTTAGAAGAAATTAAAAGAAGCTTGAAAAAGTAAAAGAAATCGAAAAATATTAGAAAAAATAGAGTTAAAAAACTTACTCAACTAAATAATCACCCAAATAAATATGTAAAATTTAATATTTTAGCTGGAGGAGGAATATATAATTTATTTTTTAATGGAAACTGTTAGAGTGCATCCCACATCGGAAGTCCAAGAGTAAAATAATCCGGTATATAAGCTCTTGAGTTAAAACTAACTAATCGATTGAATTCAATCTTTTAATGTGGTTCAACCCAAGTGTCTTATTACCCAATCCAGTAATCACTACCTCATCCTAAATTCTATCAGAAACTTAAAAAAGTTTGTTTTCCAATTATCACTTTTAAAATTTATATAGATATTAGACAATATTATTGTACAATGGCTGGCGGAGTGTTTTTATAAAAAGATAATCCCTCCGTCCCGTGAAACATGAGACATTTGCTTTTTAGGAGGGATTTAAGGGAGTGTATTTTGGTATTAAATTTCCAAAAATGTCCTTTGATGTGATGGGTAAAAGTATGATTTGATGGATAGATTATTAGTAAAAAGGTATGATGTGATAGTTAGGGTATGAAAAAGTAAGGGGTAAAAGTGACTTTTTAATAGAAATGAGAAGTGTTTTGTGGGACGGATAAAAAAAGAAATGTCCCATGTTTCACGGGACGGAGGGAGTAACAGCTAAGAGAGCAATGGTGTAATAAATTGATTTTCGAAGTATTCTTGCAAAATCAAAAAAAAAATCGGAGTACTATTGTAAATATTTCAAAATTTAAACATCTGTGAGAGCTTTATCATTTATTTTGTATATTTTATTTGTTTTGAATTTTGGGATGTAATACAACATTGATTTTATGGGATTCTAAAAATATATTATTCAAATATATTAATTTAATCTCAAAAATTAAAAACTCCATTATTTTATACTCCGTAATATTTATTCTGCACCAATATTTTTTTCTGTGCAGCGCGCACACACGAGTATGAATCTAGTATTTCAAAAAGTAATAGAAAAGATCAAAAAAGTAATTTAAAAGGTAGGAATGTTATGTCGAAGTTTGGAGTATCAAATTGACTTTCTAATTTTAAAATGACTTGATCGACTTGATATATTAAATTGGAAACGGTTGACTTGATCGACTTGATATCTTTTAAGACCAAAATAAGTGTATCAACTAGGTGCAGTGTGTACCTACTAGTGTGTGTTGGGGTTTCCACCTGTGTATGACTCTTTGATTGTGGTTAATAAAATGTGCTTGGTTCAAAAAAAAAAAAAATTATATTTAATTACCTTCTTTATCATATTGTTTTACTTAATGTATTGTTATTACGATAGTTGTTCTCTTACTATGATTAGAAATCTCTCATGTAATCTTTATAAATAGGTCCTTCAATATTCAATAATACCAATTATTATCAAATTGTATCGGTTACATATATTTTAGTATTTGAATACTGTAGAAAATAATAAGGGAGATTAATTTTGTATTAAATTGTTTTGGAGATTACAAAGATTCAACCATTTATACATAGAAAGATGGTAAAGCAAATAAGTAAACTTCTATTCCTATCACAATTCTATTCATACTATAAAAAGAATATGAAAAACTAGAAGAGTCACCAAACCGAGTCCCCAAGGGACTCGATTTCCTCTTCTCTCTCTCTCTATCTCTCTCTCTCTCGTAACACTCTCCCTCTTGGACAATACATAACCAAATGATCTATGTTCAAGTATCATCTAAATACTTTAACAAATCAGTTTTCTTCTTCTTCTTCAACGAAGATGCCACTCTTTTCGAATCTGTTTTCGACTAAAGGAACATCATTCTATTTGAACCTTTAATGATTTCAAGCGATCAGGATGAATGTCATTCTTTTCGAACATCCGCAATGCCATTTTTTAAAATAAGAAATTGCCTGCACATTACGAAATTGTCTGCTTATTACAGGAAACCCATGTCGGACAATTTCTTCTTGATTAGTGACTGTGATTCCTTAGCAGTCATGTTTTTTGCCGAGGAACAACCATCTACCATACTGATTTAATGGACAACGTGACCTGGTGGCTGTGTCTAGCGGACTTTCGGAGGTTGCCCTAGCGGTCGAGGCTGGAGTACGTAGATGGTGCTTCTTGGAAGGTGGGGAGATATAGTACTGTAAAATGACTTGATAGACTTAACGAATCGCGTGAAATCACGCTTTCAGATTAAAGTTATTTCGGAGTATACCAAAATACTTCAATCGGATAACACTACGTTGGTATATCGAACGAGTATGAACTTCCTTCTGTACTCAAACATGCCATGCAAGCCCATAATATAGGCATTTGGGCGATCGCACGTGACCGTTGGCCGAATAAACCTTAACGCAACCCGTGGGGAAAAACTTATCTTTTGGGCAGTTAACCAATTCGACTTATTCGAATAAGTGACAACTTATTTAAATAGTTTAGGTCTTCCAAAAACCAGCCTTGTGCTTAACTATTGGAATAAATGGACATCTATTCGAATAGTTGGGGTTCTCCAAAAACAGGCATGTGCTGAACTATTCGAATAAATGTGCATTTATTTGAATAGTTCACTGTGTTGAGTCTTTTTTGAGTACGTTTTTCACACATTCGAAAATTACATATTTTAGACTCCGGTTACGAAAATTCGAAGGATTTTCATAAAGAGACAATGTCCAAATTAAAAACTACTCCAGGGGGCTCTGCCCCTTGGACCCCGCCAGGGGCTGCTGCCCCTTAGACCCTGCTACCGAGGGCGGTCGCCGTGGAATTTCTTATATCGTTGAACGAGCGTGCACTTCACACCTCCTAACTCGTTAACAACGTTTTTTAAAATTTATATCCGATTGACACACCTAGAAATTATTCGGAGAGAAAAACAAAATATCACGATATCCCAACGGTAGGCATTGAAGTGTGTATAGTATGCCCACCGGCAAGAGAGTGTAAGCATGTTTGAGGTCTCAAAAATAAAAAACTTGCTCTAATACCACGTAGAAATTGATTGGGGAGAATAATTTTGTATTGATATGTCTAGGAGATTACAAAGATTCAACCTCTTTATATAGAAAGAGGGTAAAACAAATAAATAAACTTCTATTTCTGCCATAATTTTATTTCCTACTATAAAATTTTAACAAGAATAGGTAAGCTGGGAAAGTCAGCAAACCAACTCTCTTTTCTATGTCTCTCTCTCTTTCTCTCTCTCGTAACAAATACTAAACTTAATTACTATTCGAGTACAACTTAATTTTTTGTGTTCGTTTTCAATTCTGTTTACGAAAATCTGAACGACTTTCATATACCCAATATTTACAAAAAAAAAACCAAACCGAACCGTTTCTATTTCGTTTTGTTTTCGATTTTGGTGTTATTTACAAAAAAAACCAAACCGAACCGTTTCTATTTCGTTTTGTTTTCGATTTTGGTGTTTATAAAATAAAAACTAAACTGAACCGTTTAAAACCAAACCCTACTAATGATATCTTTTATTTTTTCTCTATCCATTTTTTTAAAAATACTCTTTTTAATAAATTATTTCTTATTGACGCTATTGCAATTTCTCTTTTCATTCTCTAGTGGATATTGATGTGATGATGAAGAAATATGTTTTTATAATATCCCTCTTCAATTCAAGCTTTATTTTTTCTCATTTTGTTTTCACTACTGATGAAAGTCTTGGTAAGAATCACATGTTGGCAAATTAATTCATTTTTTTCTTTCTTATACAGTATTTTTTTTTGATAATTTGCTTGGTTAAAATTGAAACAATATGACCCCTAGCTACTTCACAATTCTTTTCTAGATTGGCCACCACTAAAAATCCACTAGTCTAGTGATAATTTTACTTCCTTTTTATACACAGAGTATTTTTTAGTACTACTCATTTAGTCATTTTGCTCATATCATTAAAAGGTATCTAATGTTGCATTTTATATACTCCGTATTGATTTACTTATAAAATTATTATGTTTTACAATAAATTAATAATTTTTAAAACCACAAAAAACAATGAAAACCCAAATCTTGAACCGCAAAAAATCGAACCGAATAACGAGCATTTCATATTTTTATTGTATAAAACCAAACCGAACCGCGAATTCACCTTCCGTTTCGTCTTTGTTTTAGAGTAAAAACAAAACCGAGCTCACTCCTAAACCCAGCAGCCTGATCCAGGCTGCCGCCCTTGAACCCCCACTGAGGGCTAGCTTCTGTCCCCGGTCTCCCTCTAAAGAATTTGTAATATTGTTGAACAAGTGTGCGCTTCATATTATATATACCTCCAAACTTTTATATATCAATAATGTGATGTTTATTTTTTTAAAAAAAATCTCTTTTTGCTGGTTCTAAGTGGAGGTAATTATCCAAAAATAGCCGATGACAGTAATACCACGAGCTAAGATGTTTGGAAACAAGCTAAGGTAGAAAGAGTTTATGTGGTATGAAGAAAGAGTTTCTTAGCTCGTATGGCTTAATTTGTGGTAGATGCATGATAGTGGCAAACAGATGTGTCGCAGGCACAAGCCCATGGGTTACCTTTTTGTCTAGTGATGATATATAGTGGCATATACATGACATGAATAGCATATTTTGGGTTTTGGTTTTCACACATGTACAATAGCCCCCAGCCAAATGATCCATTCTAGTGGCAAACCACTTTCTTGCTTGATGATTCAGCTAGATAAAGACTGGCTGGCCTAGCTATTACTGTCCCTCTTTCCACTTTATTATTATTGCTACTATACTATATATTCCATGCATGTTTTTCTTCTTCTTCTTGAAGGGAATAGAAGCTTCAAGGGCCTAATGATGGATATCATATCATGATGACACAATCTATGCCCATATATGATTGATATATTATGTTACAACTTGGTTATTAAATCTAAGATGATTGACAATCCAGTTTGTTATTACATGAATAGAGTAATTGATGAGCAATCGAAGCAAACACAAAACGTAAAGACACGCAGATTTAACGTGGTTCATCAACGTTGTGTTGGCTACGTCCACATGAAAGAACGGAGTCAGACATGAATGTTCGTGTAAAGGAAGCAAATGCTTGCGCAACAGGGAGAGAACCAAACTTTTGCTAAAAATTGCAAGTATTTGCGCGAGTTTTCCTTTCGGTTTTTTGGTCGATTTTGACGTTTATTTGTACGTCTGAATCTTAAGGGTTTCAAGCTCCGTTCACAAAAATCTGAAGAATTTTCATAAAGCAATAACGTCCAAAATAAAAAATTTCCAAGCTGTCTATTCAAAATCTTGTCTGATCTAAGTAAATCCAATAATAAAAAATTGCCGAGGACACTATAATTACCAACATGGGGTTGAGTAACCATAAATATTTTGGTCACCTTTCTCCTCTTCTTCGAATGTGCGAGGAGTTTGCAATCCAACAAAACCTCCGATCCCCTCAAAGTAACAACCACACAACTTGTGACCTCTACTTCAGCAATTGTCCATTTGATCTACCACCAGCTTGCACCACCACTGCACACCTGCGGGACACGCCGTCCGACCTTCTCCTGCTGAAAAGACTTTCGACACAAGGAATAACGCTGGCCATCAATCCCCTAAGGTCACACCATTCGATAGGTCAAATCATCTTGTACCGCACTTAACACCAAAGGGGGACAAGCCTTATGAAACAATTATCAACCCATATGACTTCTCTCTCACCTTGGCATTTTGGCGAGTAGAAATAGAAACCTATAAACAAAGCTAGGGATATAGTCCTTGCGTGTGGCCTTAAACCTTCCCTTTCACGGAGGAGCAAATAAACACGCCGGGCTCCATACCCACATGGACACATACATTTACAACCTAATAGCCATTCTTTCTTCTTTCCCTTCAAAACCCAATGCACCATATATATATATATATATATATATATATATATATATATATATATATATATATATATATATATATATATATATATATATATATATATATATATATATTTGCCTCCAAAAACCAATGCATGAGCATGCTTGTAATTAATTTATCATTTTATTATTCTCTTTCATTCCTCTGCATATTCAAATCACACGTACAGACAAGCCAGTTATGCTTAGCAATTCCGGCATGCTGCCGCCACCGGGAGCGGCGGAGCTCTCCGTTGTCGTCGCGAACGACGACGATGACAGAAATTGGGTGGAGAGGCTCCTCAAAGATTGCGCGTGCGCGATCTCCGAGAAGGACTCTGCCAAGACCCACCATCTGTTGTGGATGCTGAACGAGCTGGCGTCGCCGTACGGCGACGCCAGCGAGAGGCTCGCTGCGCATTTCCTGCGCGCCTTGTTCTGCAAGGCAACCCAGACCGGCCCCAGGGTCTACAGGACTCTGGTCTCGGTCTCCGCGAAGGCCCACACCTTTGACTCTGCCCGGAAAGTGATGCTCAAGTTCCAAGAGGTGAGCCCGTGGACGACGTTTGGCCACGTGGCGGCGAACGGCGCAATCCTGGAGGCCTCAGACGGCACCGCGAAGCTCCATATCGTCGACGTCAGCAACACGTTCTGCACGCAATGGCCAACGCTTCTCGAGGCCCTCGCCACGCGGCACGACGACACGCCTCACCTGAAGCTCACCGTCGTCGCCGCCACCGCCTCCTCCGCCGCCGTGAAGTCGCTGAAGAACGAAATAGCCCAGAGACTCGAGAAGTTCGCCCGCCTCATGGGAGTCCCGTTCGAGTTCAACGTCGTCACCGAGTTAACTCGCCTCGGGGAGATCACGAAAGAGATTCTAAACGTGCACGACGACGAGTCGGTCGCCGTGAACGTCGTCGGAGCGCTGAGGCGCGCGGGACAGAGAGCAGAGGCGCTCCGCGCCATCCGCTCCCTGAACCCGAAAATCGTGACGGTGGTGGAGGAGGAAGCGGCGGAGGCCGCCGGGAATGGCGAAGGCGACTTCGAGGAGTGTCTGGGCTTCTACCGACGGTACTTCGGAATGCTGGAGGAGAGTTTTCCGGCGACGAGCAACGAGAGGCTGGCGTTAGAGAGGGAGGGGTCGAGGAGCATGCTGAGGGCGGTGGGATGCGATGACATGGCGGAGGAGGACGGCGGCGGCGAGTGCGAGAGGAGGGAGAGGGGAGGGCGGTGGGCGGGGAGGTTTAGGGAGGCGGGGTTCACGGCGGTGGCGCTGAGCGACGACACGGTGGACGACGTCAAGGCGTTGCTGAAAAGGTACAAAGGGGATTGGGGGGCTCACCGGGACCCACAACATGATGATGTAATGATGAACTCGTCTTCTTCTTCTTCTTCTTCACCAGGAATCTTCTTGACATGGAAACATGAACCAGTAGTGTGGGCATCTGCATGGAAACCCTAGCAAATTAGCTACATGCATGATTTAATTAATTAAGACTATTATTGAATTGATTGATTTTCCACAAGTGAAAATAGATTGTAGTGATATTCGTTATAGATTTGTAATTAGATGAAGAATACCATGATAGTTTCATAAAAGCTTCCTGATTTGACTTGGATCCGAAAATAGAAAATGTTGAATTATAGTTGACTTTCAATTTATCTCTGATGTTATGGGTAAAAGTAAGATGTGATGGATAAATTATTTGGAAAAAAAAGTATGATGTGATAGGTAGAATATAAAAAAGTAAGGGTAAAATTGATTTTTTAGAAGAAAGTGAAAATGTTTTGTTGGAAGTGAAAAAATTATCTCATCTCATTCATATATCCTCATTATTCAAGATTTATCCACTCTGATCTCCTATTTAATATTTTCATAGTTTTTTGATCTTATCTAGAGAATTTTACATAGATATATTTCTTATTGACAACTTAACATTCTAAGGGCTTGTTTGGAAAATTAAAAGCGTTAGCGATTAGCGTTAGCATTTTGAAAAGACTATCTACGAGCAGCGTATAGCGTTAGTGTTTTCAAAGTAATCTACACCGTTAAAATTTTATCTAAAACGCTAATCTCTAACACTATTCTCAAAGAGACCATAATACTCTCTCCATCCAAAGTATCACATCATGTGAATCACTCATTCACTCACACCATATTCTCGCTATAAAAAGTGGAGGCATTTGCATAAAAAAAAGTTCTCCTTATTTAAATTACACATACCTTAAAAATTCTACTCCCTAAGTCCCTAATATTTATTTCGTAATAAATAAAGTGACAAAATGGAAAATAAGAGACATTTTAATCTATTCAGATCATGTACTCGTTTTCAAAAAAATCTATTCATGAACTCCATAATATTTATTTGAGGAATTTACCTAAATAGCACTAAAACATAATGACTTTCTCTAAATAGCACTACATATGTTTTTTTTCTCAATGTAGCACATTTAGTCATTATACATTAGTCATTATTCAAGTAAATGTTTGTCATCACTGGTCATTATGGACCTTATAAAGTGCTATTTTGGAAAGAAAACAATCTAAGTGCTATTTAGAGAAATGACTTAAGTTTTAGTGCTATTTAGTACAAATATTTCTATTTATTTTGGTAACTCAATGTATTTATTCAATATGTTAGGATCAAAATTTTAAACACCGAAAAAAATGAAATGGAATTTTTTTATTTAGAGTATTAATTCTTAGACCTGACAAAGAATGACTGATCCTGTTTTTTGTCCAAAATCCAACCCAAAAATACTGAGTTTTGAACAAAGATTTTGTTGATCGAACTCGAAATGACCTGCTAAAATGGGTCAAACCCAACCGAACCCGAACTGACCTGACCGACCTGCACATGTTAGAGTTTTTCAAAATCATATACTTTAGTTTGAAATATAATGTAAGATGTGATGAATTGATTATTAGAGAAAAATATGATGTGATAGGTAGGGTATGAAAAAGTAAGGGTAAAAGTGATTTTTTTTAAAAAAAAGGGGAAGTGTTTTGTAGGAAATAGAAAAAATGAAAGAGAAAGTGTTTTTAAGAACGGAGAGAGTACTTTTCTTACTACTTGTTTCTAGTGTATAAATTTATATTTTCCAACAAAATTTTAATAATATTGCATAATTATCTTACTTTTTTAAATTATAGTTATGCATTTTTAAATTGATTTACTTCAAAATCTAAAATAAAATATTATATTAGATTTAATGCATATTTTTTAATATTTTAATTTTATTTAATGGGAAATGTAGGTGTTAATTATATGAATTTAAAAATTTTAAAAACCAAAATCATAAACCATTGGATCGACATGAACCCGATGATACTAAGTCATATCATGAATATACTTGTCAACCCAAACTTGAATTGATCTGAACCCTCAACCGATTTGCCAGCTCAAGTACTCTTAAAAATTTCTTTAAATGCAAAAAGTAATAAACTTTATCAATTGGTGTTTGTGACAAAGTCTCTCTCTCTATATACCTCATTGGCACGGACTGGGAGCATTTCTTTCCACATATTCTTCCACTACTTATTGTTTNCCCCCCCCCCCCCCCCACCCTCAATCAATCATCACCAGCTAGCGGTTATTGTTACTCCCTCCGTGCATGATCTTCCCACTACGCGTTACGAGGCTTGACCGACTTTATTTTCAATTCAATTTAATTGATTATAGGAGTAAAATTTTAAAATAAAATTTATATAGTAATAAACTATATGAAAAGTTCTACAAAACTAGAGGTGACAAGACTATATTATTTTATGAAATGACTAGTAAAATTGAGTAAATAAAGTGAGTAAGTTTGACCCTGTGAATATTGTCTGGGAAGATCTATGGTGGACAGAGGGAGTATTTGTTAACCATATTTATTATCTTACTCATTATTTCACTCGGTCATTATCTATTAGTTATTATTTAACTAAATATCAGGCATCACTTAGACATTATTATTCTCACTAGTCATTATTAAGTCATATTTAGGGAATAAAAAAGTTTAAGTCATACATTAGAAAATGACTTACTCCCTTCGTCCCAAATTATTTGCAACGTTTGTTTTTTCAGCAGTCGCGAAAACTTTTGTTTATTTCTACGTTTTCATTGATTATTTGATAAAATAAAATATTGCTACCTCTTATTTCGAAGAACTTTTCATGTAGTTTTTTGATATGTAATTCTTTTTTATTTATATACCAATATGTAAATAAAATTAATTGAAAAAACTTGATATTTTGTCTCGGGAATACAAGTGTGGCAAATATTTAGGGACGGAGGCAGTATGTTTTAGTCTTATTCAGTGCAAATTTCACTACTCTCTATTACTCCCTAAGTCCCTAATTGTCTAAAGTCCTTTTTTTTCTTTATCTCAAAATTACTCTCTTTTCTACTCCCTATTAAAAAACTATTTTTTACTAATAACACTCACAATGTGTTGGCTAAAATGAATCACTTTCTAATAAAGGCCTCGTTTCATTCAACTTATTTTTTCTTATTTTTTCTTATTCTTATTAAGATCAGATCAGATCACACCAGATCAGATCAGATCAGATTAGATCAAATCGGATCAGATCTGATCAGATCCAATCAGATCAGATCAGATCCAATCAGATCAGATCAGATCCAATAAAATCAGATCAGATCCCATCAAGATTATTATTATTATTATTATTATTCTTAAAAATGGAAAAGAATAAACTTTAGAAACAAGTTAAATAGAACACTGAAAAAGTAATCCTCAATTATTAGATGTCGAAAAAATTATTTTTAAAATACATTGACAATGTCAATCTAATTCTACTTTTAAAATACATTTTTATTGCTACATGTAATTTGAGTTTCTAAAGTTTTGATCTTTTATAAGGATGAGATATTTTAATAAAAATACTATTATATATTGATTATCTAAATTTAATTACTTTTTGATGTATATATAAATTAAATATTTATTCTAATGTATATATGAAGTAATTATTAAAATATTAAATCAATATTCTAATTTCACAAAAAAATAATCATAAAATAAAAAATATTATTACATTATAATATGAATGATTATTCTAATATATGAATTAACTAATTTTATATTATTAAAAAATAGTCATAAAATAAAAAATATTGGTTATATTATAATATGAATTATCATCACAATTTTCAAACGTTATTATAAAGTCAAATCAAATTATTGATTTAAATTTTAAATTAAATCATATTTAATCAGATCAGATCAGATCCAATTAGATCAGATCAGATCCAATCAGATAAGATCAGAACTTATTAAAATCAGATTAGATCAGAAAAAATAAGTTGAACGGAACAGAGCCAAAATCTGGATCCACTTTCTAACAAAAAATTAAAATTAATCACTTTAATAATCAGATCAAAACTTTAAAAATTCAAATGAGATTTGATCAGATCAGCCGTACGGAAAAGAGCCTTAATATTTATACTTTTCATAATAAAGTGTATGTTTCCCCCTCCTCTCTCTTTGGACTTTCAAAAGTGTGCCATTAGTCCAATTATTTGTTCTTTCTATTCAAGTTTGGTTAAAGATGTCGTTAAATCAAGAGATGGCGGTGGTAGGGCACTGCATTCATAATGGTTTGGAATTGAGTAGCGACCCCAGCCCAAAAGTTCATTGCACTTTGGGATGTCACATATCGCGGAAAAAAATAATAAGTAAAACTACTTGAGAAAAAATGGTTACGAAAAAGGTAAATTGCTTGGGGTAAGAATAACATTTAATCGAGTCTTCAGAAACATTACGGACCAACCACTTCCTCCTCCGTCGGTGTTTACGCTCGCTTCCCCCACAACTCGTCGATCGTTCATGGTGCACGGTCTTCTCTTTGAATTTTTGGAAGGTTACGTTTCGTGAACACTATCAAGGTTCTCAACAGCATTCTCCAAGACGGGCGTCGGGCCGATTATTCCCTGAGCCATTTAAACTTTTCTAAAAATTGGTGTTTTCACTTGAGGAATTGTAAATAGGAAGGGTCCATAATATAATTTTAATAAAGTATTTAGAGAGATGACAATAATTTGTATATGAAAGAGGCAGAGATGAAGTGTGAATTTTAAAAAGGGGTGATAATGTTTAAACAATGGATTATTGAAAAAAAATAAACTTAATTCAACAAGTTGTTGCCACAACTACCGAATGATCTAACATTAAAAAATCAATTAAATTTAATACAAAAAATATGTATAGGATGGATTCTCCTATTTATATATATAAAGCTTAAGCAATTTTATTTATTTAAATTTTAGAGTCTCCGTAAGGCAAAGAGTAAAAAAGTAGATTCCGTTGCCGGGACTTGAACCCGGGTCTCTCGGGTGAGAGCCGAGTATCCTAACCAACTAGACTACAACGGATGTTGTGACAGCTGCGGATAAGTACATATTAGTACTCTCTCCGTCACAAATTATTTGCAAGATTTCGAAAGAGGTGCAAAATATCATCTCTTTTAAAATCATTATATTTTCAAAATGGTAGAGTAATAAAAAGGTAAAAATTACACCATTCAAAAGTATATGAAAAGTTCTACAAAACAAGATGCGACAAGAATATTTTATTTTATCAAATGGTCAACCAAAACGAGTAAACAAA